TATTTATTTTTAGCTGTAAATGTTATGAAAGATGTCTCCGTTCGTTTAATAATAATTATGTTCAGTTTTTACACATAATATAAGCTACCACTATTTTATTATTTTTTTATTTTATTTTATTTTTTTTTTTATTTGGCCCTATTCCCTCAGTACCGTGTTCGGTGTGTTCTAAAACGTACCTAAACTACATCCCCAGCTTTCTTCGATACAGAGAAAAAAGCAACTAAAAATAAAATATAATATAAAGTAATTTTAAATTTCGTAAAATTAGTTTCCATTTACCGATTAAAACCAAACGTATATCAGCATGTTATGTTAGACAGGTAGTTATAGATTCGTTCTTCTGTTCTGGTTCGAGTCTATACAACAAAAAAAGAACGAACTATACAAATAACAATCTTCCCTCTACTTCACACACAGTAATTGAGGGCTAGAGCAACTAACGAACTCCCCCAGCAGGAACCATAATTACGAAGAATGCAAATATTCTGGAGGAAAAAAGGATCGGTGAGAAGGAAAGAGGTCGATGACCTTCTCCTCCTGCACCGGTTTGCAGACTCCGCAGCACACGTCCAAGGCCGAACCTACTCCCGGCTTACGTAGTACGTTTTACGTAACACTTGTTATTTATAGGAAACGCTATAAATAGCTACGCTATCGGAGGATCGGGTGTTCTTGTACCGAGTTGAAGGAATGCAGAAGACATCGATGACTGCTGTTTGGGTAGGTAATTATGATTCGTTGCAGAGAATCAAATGTTTAAACGAAAATTAATATTTTACAGACATTTTCTACACTATTCATTAATGTTGTATTTGAGTCGTTTATTTCCAAATCGATCCACCACCAAATCCATTTTTATGGAAATTGAGATAAGTATCGACTCCCATGTAAATCCACCCAATGGATCCGTAAGTGCAATTTTTTTTTCACAAATGAACCTAAATATTTAAAAAAGTTGTTTAAATTTTTTTTTCTTTATTTAAGGAATATAATGAAACTTTCATTTCTTAAGTATTTTTTTTTTAAATCATCAAAAGCTTCTTTAACCGTTTTATTTTGGTGAAAATTTAAAATAATTTTTTTCTTGTGTCATTATTGTGAAAAAAAGATTTTTTGAAATAAAAATATAAATAGAAAATAAACTTTATTCTGGGGTGATGTCCAAAAAGAATGTCCATGTGATGTTAAAAAAGAAAAAATACTCATCTGCCCAAAAAGTAACTTGATAAAAATTCAAACAATATATACAACAACTTAAATAATAGTATGTAATACAGTACAGTTTTTATAAGTATTCGGCTAATGTATTTTATTTTATTTTTAATCTTTCTTAAACTTTTTACAAGCATTATTTTTTGACTTTCTAAAATACATATGGTAAATAAGTTTAATATGATTAGTAGTTTAAAATAATTGGAAACTGCAGTTGAAAAATGCATTCCAATATGTAGAGCTCAATATATTTTTGAAAACCTCATATCAAAACAGGTTTAAGGATTTAACTTTATAAGGGTTTAATTGTTTTTTAAACAACAATAATTACAAGACCAATAATGGTTTTAATGGCAATTTTTTTTATTCTTTGTCTTGATATGTACTTGCATTTAGTAGTACTTGCATATTTTATTAATTTTATATACAAATATTTATTATTTTCATTGTTTAAATATTTGGTTAAGATCACTCATAGTAACAAATTTAAACCAATGAAAAAATATCAATTTGGAGGGAAGATTCTTTATCCCGAAAGTTCCCTTCCCTTGAATCATTTAATAAAAAAAAAAAATGAAACAATTGAAGCGTTAAAGTCTCCGCTGACAGTTTGATTTACTCTATTGTAACTGTTTTTTTATTTATTTTTATTCAACAGTAGACTGTTTTAGTACACAAATAATCAGTTTAAAAAAATGACTGCACCAAATGATTTCATTTCTCGCACCCGGTGAGCGAATTGACTAATTTTTTCAACTAAAATATTTTATAGAGCATTATACTGAAGTCCTTCACTATTTTAAGACTTACAATATATATATTATAGAAAAATTATTTATTTATTATTAATTTTTTTTGTCTCCTTTTCCCCACCTTTCAGGCTAGGTTTTCCCGAGATACGCAAACTCGTAATTATTTTTATTAAATTATCTTTCATGCTGTTTCACACGCATTAGCCAGCTCGGCCACACCGCTTCCTGATTATAGGGGTATGAAATTCTATGGCCTATTAATTGATGGTATATTTGAGGTTTAATTTATGACTTCAATAATAACGGAGGTTTTATGACTTAGATGTTTTATGCCAGCAGTTTGTACACAATCAAGCAGTTCTTTTTTAAAATTCTAAAAAACTTATTAAAGGTGACAACATTTCGGCAATCGAAGTAGTAAATGATGTTAATGATTTAAACCTTTCCTTATCAATGTTTTTTAAATAACGATACTTCATTAAAAAGATAATTTTCGTGTTGTTTATTATCATCAAGTCCAAACAATGGTGGTCGAATTATAACAGCTGATGAACAATACGAACTTTTCTGATCAGTTATCGATAATCACACTCATTAAAGTTTAACATTAAAAAATCAACAAAAATAATATAAAATTCATATCCTGGCGAAATAGCAACGTGGCCACCAAAAAACCGTATATTCTCTTTCCATTCTTCTGCCGTTCCCTAAATTGTCGTGTATACTTTCCGAAAATCGAGACATTTTCAAAATGCCGTAAGACAAGGGAAGTATTGTCAAAACTAAATAACGACTTAAATACACACACATTTTTATACAATATTTACAAAATTCATTCACTCAAGATCTCCGAGCCAAGGCTTTCTCCCCACTCGTGGAAGGAAAGGCAGGAGTCTAGGAGATCCCAGCGCCTCTCACTCAACCGTATTACTGGTATTAGGGACCAGTAGAGGCTGAGCAGAGGCGCTATAATCGCACTATAATTGAGTGGAGAATCTGGCCATTGCCAAAGTTTATTTTATTTTAGATTATACATTTACTTTGAGTAATATTATTTTGCTGTTTATTTATTGCACATAGTATGAATGAGCTACTCTTATATCACTACAGATTGTTATTGATCTCGATAAAGAATTTTCGCTAAAAAAAAAAATTGTTAAAAATCGGAACGTCTGGTCACCTTAAACTAGTATAAGATTCACTCATTCGTAAAATGATCGCTATTTTAATAAATAAAAGGACACATGCGCATTAAAAGGTTATCTTTTAAGTCGATTACTTATACTTAAGAAGGTATATTAATCTGGCTTTCAGTTGATTAAATAAAACGATATTGAGCAGAGAGGTTCGCTGACTACTTCAGTAGCTCTTACAAAGAGGTCGGAAGACAAGACAAAGAAGATAGGAAGATAAAGGGATGGAGGAAGCTAATGGTGAACTGGTGGGTGTAGCCATTCATAGCCGCGGCACCTGTAGCAGGACATTATGTAACGACTCATTCAACCTCTCTCTCGTCTTTCCAGTCCAGAATATTTTTATTGCGGACCGCTAGTCCGGAATCTTTTTTTTTTTCTTCTTCTTTTTCTTATTTACTTTTTTAAACTGGACTTTTTTTTTTTTTTCTCATTCCTTTTCCGTATACGTTTCGTCTCCTAATTGATTAGCGGTATTCCGTTATGTCTTGAGAAAAATTCGTTAAAAGGTGGAAGACAGAAAAAAAATTTGCCTTGTTAGCGTATGTTATCAGATAGCGATCGGGTTTATGAGTGCTTTAAGAAAGGAGGTTAATCGTATGGAATAATCTGTCTTCGTGAACAGGTTTCTTATTTTTTTTTTAATAATTGTAGAATAACCCCAATAAAAATGTGATTAATTTTAAATTCAAATAAATATTTAAATTTATTTTTTTGAACGTTAAAATCTCTTAACGATTCTAATTACTTTATTAAATTAAAAATACCTTGTCTTCCTGTGTATATAATCATACATGGCCGTGGCGGGGGGTAGGATGCAACGAATTGGAGACAAAATATAGCTACAGTTAGCAGGGATAAATAAATAAATAATGACAAACTTAATAGATTTTTTTTTTCAATTTCTTTTTCAAAAATATTTTTTTTTTTAAATTCATAGATATTATAAATGCAAATTTTAAGGTTTTTTTAATCATTTCCCAAGCTATGGAGAATACAGATGTCTAAATTGGTTGTTTTTCTGGACTAGCGATAGGGTAAGCTTACCAGTGATGGACATAGCCACTGATGATCCAGGATTTAATTTTGGAGGGGCTTCAGCCCAAAAGATTTTTTTTTTATTCATATATTAGGATAATTACTTCGGAAGCAAGAAAGAAACTAAGCACCTATATGAAATGGTGTTTAAGTGATTCTTTAAGTCCTATTAAATGTAGTTACACGAACAAGAATACTTTAAAAGATAATTTTAATATTTTTTTCTGTAAAACATGGTAATATTTTACCATTTTGAGGAGGGGAACTTCAGCCTGAAAGCTCCATCAAGAGCTAATATTAATATTTTAGAAACAGTAACGAGATACTTTTTTTTTTATTGTGGCCTTAAGATTTTATGCAAAATCCTATTTTGCCAGTAATTTATCCTTTTGTAATTATTAAAGCTATACTTTAGTTTTTCTTATGATTTTTTAAAGTTGATTGTGCCCTTCTCGATTTTCCTCTTTTATTATTTTAGGAATATTGAGTGCCGATCCCTCCTCTCATACCATACTTTTCAAATTTCTCAGAATGTTATCTGCTACAGTTTGTACAATATGAATCTGTTAATGAAATTAAATAGAAACAAATTAGATAATAAACATTTAAATACTTTTTATTTTATATTATTTACTTTTTTTTTCTAATATTATTTTAATTTTTTTATTGTTTCAAATCTTATGCTAGAAGTAATCTTTTATTTTTATATGATCTTGTTATTCTCAAGGAACTTTGTCCCAGAATAAATTTATTTTATACTATTTATTATTTATGAGTAATAAAATAAACTTTTTTTTTACAGCTCCAGTGGAAGAAGGAACCTCACATGCCTTGCAGCTTAGCGACTCGATAGCGGGTAATTATTTATATTATTAATTAATAAAAACATTTAAACTTTAATGTTTTACGATCATGTTTTTCCATACATTATTAAATATTAAATAAGATGAAAAAAACAACTACATAATAATTTATTCTAGTTAGTTAAATATTGCTAAATAGGTTTAGCTTATGATATCTTTTAAGTTTAATAACTTGTTGAATTAATAAATATTTTAATTTCATATAGTTATATTATCATTTAACAGACATGCCATCTAAAACACGGTACTGAAACTTGTCTGGACTAACAAAGCTTAATTTTATGGTTTATATAACCATTTCCACTTGTACAAAAAAAAAATTGTTGATGCAATTGATGGTGTGTATATTATTTTATGTGAATTATTGAAACCAAATAAATTAATTTTTGATTTTCTAATATTAATAAAACTTTTATGTTCAATGCGGAAACACTAAAAACTTATATTAAGGAAAACAATTTTGAGTTAGGACCTTTTAAAATATGAGGTTAGCATATCTATCTACAATAATATACCAGACTTTCTGAAACCAATTCTAATTTTCATGATTAGAAAAAAGAAAATTATATTGTATATATTTCTTTAAATCCCCACAGTTAATTGTTTTTTTTTTTTATATTCTCTTTGGTATATATAAAAAAAAACTGCATGAAAAAAATATGTAATGAAGTTAATGATTTAGTCTAGTTTCTTTTAATAAAACTTTTACCTTTTTCTTACTTACTCTGAATCCTCATTTATGATTTTAGAAAAGAATTATGTTCATTTTAATTAATTTTCATATTATGCAATAGTTTATTTTTCACTTTTGGTTTTGAATCATTGTGTTCTTAGTTTCTTAATTTATATCTAATTTAGTAATAATATTAAAATACATTTAAAGAAAACAAATATGAAACAGATTTCTGTGCAGTATTGATGTTCATGTCATAAAATAATGTGAAATATTTATATTTTTTTTTTTAGATGGACGAGGATGTTATTATAATTTTGAACATTACGGAGAAGGAGATCGGATTTTAACAAACGAACCATGCCTAAACTGTACTTGCCATAATCGGATGCTCATGTGTTACCTCAGGGTATGTCCTTTCACGAAGGCTATCGGTCAGGATTGTACTGTCGAAAAGAAACCGGACCAGTGCTGTCCAGTCATCACCTGTCCTCAAGGTAAGAGAAAACAAAATATTTATTTTTTAACTATTAAAATTATCATTTTATTAAATGAAATAATAAAAACTGAATCATTTAGTTCCAGTGGCATTGCTGACAAGCTCCACCACATCTGAGGCACCGTTGACAACAACAGCTCTCGGAAGACTTGATAGTTACGGTTGTTTATTGGAAGATAACACATTCTATGCAGATGGAGCTCAGGTAAATAATCAACTACTACACGTTAATGTTACTATTTTATTCAAGGATAATGGGTAGTTATAATAGAATCAATCTGTATAAAATTTACTATTTTAATTTTAAATAATTGATGACAAAATTTATTGATTTTCTATTTGTTTTAATGATGTTTCTATTGTTCTACAATATTCAATTTTTTTTTTTTTTTTTTTTGGAATGAGTCTATTTTTCATTTTACATATCTTGCGTTAAACTCTATATGTCCTTGATTAGTAAAGATTTTAAAAATAGAAAACATACTAAACAGCATAAAATGTACATTATTTTCTATACAGTATATATTGTCAGTTTATTGCAAAAAAACACTAATTATAAATATATTTTTTATGAAGATAAACTTTTATATTTTGATATTGTTTATACAGAAAGTAGATCAGAATAACACGAATTCTTTTATTTTTCAAATATAGTTCAATAAGTTCACTGTGTTCTGATTTCACAGAGGTAAACTTCATGGAAGTTTATTGTGATATAATTTATCAAATCTTATATAATTATTTTTTGCAATAAAGTGACGATATAGGCCTCTATTTAATCGTAAATTATTTGAAAAAAGAAATGATTTTTAACTTTTCAAACTTAAAATCTTATCTTTTAAAATTAAAAATTTTAAAGGTGAAAATAAGTCACTCACACTCAGTTTTTTTTTTTCTGGGTGTAGTACTTATAACATATTACTCTCCTAAAAAGTTTCAAGCTTCAGATTTATATCCTTTTTTTCATCATCTTCTGGTATTATACAACTTTCGTAAAATCAGATATGTTCAATAAGGAAGTAACTCAGAAGAGTCCTCTTCAAAATTTCATTACTAAGACCTTTGAGTTGTTACATTGATTGTATATTTTTTTAAATTAAATAACAATTATTTTTTATTTTTCACAGGTTCCTTCAGATCCACGAAAACCATGCGAGTTGTGCTACTGTATCAGGAACCATACCGCTTGTGTGATGCAAGAATGTACTCTTAACGTTGAAGGCTGTAAACCAGTCTACCAAGAAGGTGTCTGCTGCCCTGTCCGCTATGACTGTGGTGTGTATATAATATAATGACATATATGAGTTAGTGAAAATATAACATACTCATTAAATAAGATAACCTAAAAATCAAGTCAATGAAGAGTAACTGTAGAACAACCAATTGTTGATTTATTTCAAAAAGTCAATAAATACATTTATAATGAATCTAGAGCTCTAAGTATATTTCTGTGAGCTTTGACTGCATTTATCAATGCAAAAATATATAAAGTGCATAAAAATGACACAAAACTTCTTATATATAAAATAAAGCTACTCTAAGTGCATATTATTCTAATTTCACAGAGAGAAAATTCAAGTGCATAGTGATTTAATTTTATAAGATGTTACTTAATGACTTTATGAAATAAATCAACAATAATTTTGTGGCATTAGAATAATTTATTTCAGTAATTTACATTTGTTATAACTCAACCCAATAGTGATGAGATTTTTTTTTATAAATCGTAAAATCTTTAATACAAAATAAAATTCAGCATATAGACAGTCAATCATCGTTGATGTTACTTTTGTGTATGTTGTGTTTGGCTTATTTTAATTTTATTTTAAAGATTATATACAATAAGTTTCATATCTTTTTTTTCTATTTCTATAATTATAAATATTTTTATTTTGTAGTAATAAAGGTAATTTTGATTTTTCTAGATTATGATGATGTGGCAACCACACCCAAACCTACAATAGGTCTCGTAACAACACCAGGAGGACCCAGTGACTGCCTTCACAACGGTCGCATTTACCATGATGGTGCAATGGTCATGAAAGATGAGAAGGCTCCGTGTGAACACTGTTATTGCATGAGAGGAGACATTGTCTGTGCTGTTCAAGAATGCGGTACTCCACTTGAGGGAACTAACTGTACACCAATGGAACCCAAGCCCGGCCAGTGCTGTCCTAATTATGAATGCAGTAAGTGTGTTATACTAAATAGAATCAGCTGATGTAATGCAATATAATTATTTTTGAAATAATAAAATACTTTTTTTTTTTTTTTAGCAAATGGAACATTCTCAACTGAAAATTACTTCAATGGATTATCATCATCAACTGAAACATTGTCAGAATCCCCGGTAACAGAATCAAGCAAAAATGAGAAACCTGATTCCGATGAATCAAGTAATGAATCCACTTCTAATGAGTCAAGTGAAGAGAATAAAGAAGGATCTGGGTCAGAAGTATTGAAACCTGAACCTGAAGAACCTTCAAGTAATAATAATATTCAAGAATCATCTTCTACAGCTCCAGAACAGACAGAAGTTTCTGATGACTCATCAGCATCTTCATCAGATGAACATTACACAAAGCAACCTGATACAAATGAATCAGTTACATCTGAAACCCCAGTTCAAGAAACTGTTAATGGACAAGCAGGAGATTCAATCCCTGAAGCGACCCAAGATCGAGATGTAACTCATTCACATGAAGAATCTCCTGTTTTAGGAGACGACCAAGTTCAAGACCAAGAAAGTATCAACAAACAAGATACTTCCATTGAACAAGAAGATGAAACTACTCCAAAACAAGAAGTTACCCCAGAACAAGATGCCACCAGTGGACAAGAGGCTACTCATGAACAAGAGGAAGTTACCCATGCCCCGGAATTGACCAATGCACAAGAAGATACTAATGAACAAGAGTCTACCCATGCACCAGAAGAAACCACCCATGCACAAGAGTCTATCCCTGCACTAGATGAAACCACTCATGCCCAAGAAGAAAGCCATAATCAAGAAGTAACACAAGAAACCCCTGTATTGGATGATGTAAAAGATCAAGATACATCTGAAGATAAAGATGCAACTCACGAACAAAACTCAAATGAACATGAAGTAACTCCCATACAAGAAGAGGTCACCCATCTTCCTGAGGTTACTCACGAACAGGATTCTTCTATTGCACAAGAGGCTAGTCATGAACAAGATGTGACTCATGTTCAAGAAGAAGTAACTCAACTCCCAGAGGTTTCCCATGAACCACAGAACCCTAATGTACAAGAGAATACTCAAGAACAAGATGCAACTGATGTAAAAGAAGAGGTCACCCATCTTCCAGAGGTTAGTCATGAACAGGATTCTACTATTGCACAAGAGGCCACTCATGAACAAGATGTGACTCATATTCAAGAAGAAGTCACTCAAGTCCCACAGGTTTCCCATGAACAGGAGTCCCCTGCCGTACAAGAAGCTGCTCATGAACCAGCTGTAACTCATGTAGAAGAAGAGGTTACTCAAGTTCCAGAGGCTACACATGCTCCTCAGGTTTCCCATGAACAGGAAACCACTAATGTGCCAGAGGCTTCACAGGACGATGAGGTTATTCATAACCAAGATGCCACTCAACAACAAGAAACTGCTAATGTACAAGAGACAACAAATGTGCCAGAAGTAATCGTTGAACACTCAACACTGAAACAAGAAATACAGACACAAGCTCCAGTAGAAGTAGTGAAGGATTCTCAGGTTACCAATGAAATACCAGAATCAACTCCTCCAGAACAACCAGAACCTTCAACTGAAGAGCCTGTCATAGAAGTAGCAAGAGTACCTGGAGAAGGAAGTTGTCTTGTAGACGGAAAAACATATGCACACAACTCAATTATTTCCTCTGATAATCCATGCCATGATGAATGTAGGTGTTATAGCTCAATTGTCACATGTAAGACAAAAGAATGTGCTCCTGCTCCAACCCAGTATGAACACTGCGAGCCTGTGATTACTCCAGGTTCATGTTGCCCGACCTACATGTGTGGTAAGCATCATTATTAAAATTAGCTTCATATGATTTGTAGAATTAGAATTATTAAAATAAAAAATCCTTTAATGTTTATTTTTACTTTAACAGATCAGAAGCCATCAGATGCTCCAGAAGCCCACAGTCAATTATCGGACCATACAGGTGATTCTCCTCACAGTGATGCTTCAGATGAAACAATTAATGATAGCGTTGGAACAACACAGGCATCAGTTGAAAGTGAAAATAAGGATAATTCAATTGCGCCAGTTGTAGAAGGAATCCCATCAGAAACTTTACACCCAGGATCAGATGAGAATGCAGTACCAGCTGGACAACCTGAGGAAACCCACCACGAACCTGACATCCAAACTACAGAACAAACAAGTACATCAGCTGATGCTTCCTCTTCAAATATTTATGAAGATGAAAATGTCAATTCCCATGTTGTCCATGGGGAAGATGCAGCAATACATGAAGGACAACCAGAAACGATGGATAATAAACTTGAAAGTGGAAGTAGGCCCCACCCATCAGAAGATGCAACGGCCATTCCAATCATTCCAGAAAAACCTGTTGAAGAAACCCAAGAAACTGGAACTACACAAGAACCTGAAACACCAAGTGCTGATCATACCGAAGAAGAACCAGTGAAACATGAAGATGAACCTGTGCCTACATCAGATGATGATTCTTCACAAGCCACACTTGATGTTACCTCTAGCCCAAAACCTAATGAGGAGGAATCAGCTCCAACTCAAGAAACAACTGTGGTCGGATCTGAAGAATCTGAAAAAAATCACCCAGAAATTCCAGAAACAACTGTAAATTATGCAGCAGAAGTGACAACTGCCCATCAAGACTTACAAGAAACCCATGATTCCACTGTCACATCAGCTAATAATGCAGAAGCCGAAGAAAATAATAATGATGTTACTTCTAGTGATTCCTCAATAGATGAAAGTAAGCATGAAGAAAGCATAGTGACAATAAAACCAACAGAAATTAATTTGTCTCAAGAGTCCGATCAGGGAAATACAGAACAGGATTACATTCCTACAGAGGGTCCAATTGGTATTCCAGACCAATCTCACTCTCAATACGATGACGATCCAGAACAAGTACACCATGCCATTTTATTTCAGCAAACTACTGAATCAGAAAGTTTACCCGAGGCGTCAACTGAAAACATTGCTGTGAGTGGAGATCCATCTGTACCATCAGTGTCTAATGAAGTTCCTGATGAAAATCAAAACGTAGTCACAGAAGAAAATATACCATCAGAAACAGAGAGTCCACAGAAACATGATTCTGATGCTGAAGCTAATCAGGTTACATCAGTCAGTGTTGAAAGTGATGAAATAGTAACAAGCTTACCTGATGTCACAGAAAAAGTTTCATATGAAACTACTTCTAAACCACTTTCTGAAGAAGCATCTAGCAGTAGCTCTCCAGATGAAAAAGCAACAGAGCCATCAGTAAATCAAGTTTCTGGTGAAGCAAATGATGAAACAAGTCATGGCTATGACGAAACAACCGATTCAGTGATGCAAACAACGATTAGGCAAGAAATTTTACCTGATACTGAAAAATCTCAAGATGAAAGCAACACACAAGATATCGATAATAAAATAAGTTCTAGCACAGAACATGATAAACCTGATGAAATAACAACCCATCCACCAATTGTAAATCAAGATGAAAATGAAAATACTGATGAAAAAATAGAAAATGTAACACCTCAAGAAACATCAGAACAAACTTCAGAAGAAAATATTCATAACGATGAAGTAATAACTCATTCAGATCCTGTTCTTACCGAGGAGGCACATTCTGAAGAGAAACCTATAGAAGAAACCCATGAACAAGATCCAGTAGAGCACGTGACGCATGAAACTGCTTCAGAAACATCCACTGAAGAAGTAAAGGCTGAAGGATCCGATTCACATAAACCATCTGAAGAAACAGATATTCCAGTCCACCATGCTGAAAATGACATCCACTCAGATTCCACCCCTGAGGTCATTTTTGAAGCAGTAACAGTTACTGGAATGCCTTCAATAGAATCACATGTTACAGAAGGAACAGTCGACCATTCAGTACACTTAACAGACAATTTACTTGACGATGATGTTGTACCTACAACTGAACACACTGAACCAGAAAAAGATTCTTCTCTTTCTAATGAAGTACCAACTTCTAATGAGCCAGTTAATACTGAAACCCCATCTGAGCCTATTGTAGAAACAGAAAAAACGATTGTCGAACAACCAGCTGAAGACAACACAGCATCTCCTAATCCAGATCAACAAAATGTAGAAGATCCACACCATGACACAACTTCCAGTCAACAAGAAATAACTTCAAGCGAATCATCAAATGAAGTAGTAGCCACAACTCAGAAATCTAGTGTAGAAGAAACATCACATCAAGAAATTGTAAGTGATGATGAAAATTCTTCAGGTTCAAATGAGGCCATTCCAACAGAATCCATTCCATCAGAACAAACTGCAACACCCATTACACATGATGATCATGAAAATACAAACCAAGTTATTTCAGAAGAAAGTACCTCAGCACCAAATGATGTAGCTGATACTGTTCCACAAGAACTACCAACTCCTGCTTCAGATGATCAAAAGAATGAAGAGACTCCTTTATTGGAAGTGTCTCCTGATAAGTCTGATGAGCCTTCCCAGCCACCTAATGAAATAAATACAGAACCAGCTAATGTAGTATCAGAGCAAGAAACTACAGCTATTCCTCAAGAAGAAACTACCCACCCTGTAATCAAACAAGAAACAAATCTTGATGATAATGTTGAAGCTGATATTGTAAATCAACCCCAAACAGATGCTCCACTAGAGGATGAAATTGTAAATGTTGGTAGTACAGAGCAAAATCCTACTGAGGTTCAAACTGATCAGGGACAAGTCCCTCATGTGGCTGATGAAGACCAGTCTGTTGTAAGTCATGAACCCACAGAAATTTTTCCCACAACTGAAGAAAGTTTTGTAACAAATCCTCCTATTCAAACAGTACATGAAACCTCACAAGATGTAATCCAAACAGAGTCTTCACCAGAACCAAATCAAAATGAAGTACTGCAACAGGAAACAACTACAGCACCTGTGCAAAATCAGCCAGAAAATACATCTGAGGATAGTAGTCGTCCTGATGAGAACGTAGATACAGTTAAAGAAACAGAAACTGAAACAGTACAAGTTCAAACAGAGATACCTTCAGAAAGCACTGAAGTACCTTCATCTGATAACAAGGAACAATCTCATGAAGTTTCTACAGAGCACTTAATTGAACCAGAACCTGAACAAACTGCAACTCCATCCTCTCCTAGCGTAGATCTTGAGAGTTCGACTACTCATGAAACAGTAGTATCACAAACAGAAAATATTTTATCTTCTAGCACAGGTGGTTCTGATGAAATATCACAGCCATCACAGAGTACAGGCAATGAAGATTCAACTACACAAACTCCACAAGTCACTCATTTAGAACATGCAGCTCCACCAGCACCTGACTCAGACAGTCATGTCTTAGAAACTAATGAGGGTGAAGGAGAATCTGTAACCCCAGCAGCAGAACACACAACAATCAGTGACAACAATCAACAACATATTGAAGAAGTTCACCTTGACGATGATGCTCCACAAAACCCAGCAGAAGCTGAACAACCAATTGTCAATGAACCAGTTCCAGAAGATCCTATAGTTCCAACAACTCACATCCCAGAGTTAGCTGAAACATCACCTGGCTTCGTAAACCATGAATCAAGCACTGTCCTCCCTGAGACTCATCCCCATGTCTCATCTTCTGAAGCTACAAATGAAGACATCCCATCAAGTACAGAACACGCCATTATTGAAGAGGTCCAAACTACTCCAAAGGAAGCGGTTCAAGAAACTCAAAAAATAGAAACTGAAAAGCCTGCAGATCGGTTACAGGTTACTGAAAGCACTGCAAGTGTCCCACCAGTTCCTGACAAATCAGAAGAGCATGAAAGTTCAGAGCAGCTAGATGATCATAGTTCAAAAGTTCCGATTACTCCATCAACTGAAGCAGCACCTTTAAATGAAATCCCTAGTTCAACGTATAAACCATCTATTGTTCACCATGATGAAAGCCCTTCATTCCCAACGTGGTCACAAAAACCATTTGAACATCACACGACACCAGAGCCACACCCACCAGAAGAAAATCATTACCCATCAGGTTTCGATCCTGAGTACGAAGACGAAGAAGGAGTCAGTTATGGTCCAGGCACTTGCCGCTACGGTGGTAAAGTTTACCTTTCGGCTCAACAAATCCCAAGAGATGATCCTTGTGACTTCTGCTTCTGCTTCCGCAGCGACATAATCTGCCTTCAACAGAGTTGTCCACCTCCAATCAGAGGCTGCTATCAAGAAACAATCAAAGGTTTCTGCTGTCCGAGATACGAATGTCACGTCTCCATGGCTACAATGCTGAACATGACTACAACTACAACAACTACAACCACTACATTACCTCCTCACTTCTTAGCTCATGCATATAACGGTGCAGCAACGAAAGCTGGCTGTCAAGTGAAAGACGTAGCATACAGTGTGGGAGAAAGGATACCTTCCACGTCTGGTCCTTGTTTAGAATGCAGGTAATTCATTGTGTTATTTACAAATTTATATTGCATAGATAACAATAAAATTAATTATATTGATTAATAATCGACTGTAATAGCTATATTGAAGATTAGTTGGTTGGGTTGTTCAAACAAATAACAAAGTAAAAATAAATAAATTATATTGACCCCATTCGAAAAAAAAAATTGATAAAAAATTAAATTTACTGTCAATTAAATCCATTTGCAAAGATCCACCGTCAGAACCAAAAACTGTTGAAAATTTCTCTTGAAGTGTCTATTACCGGTACATCTACCTTATAATTTTTGGATTCATAAGTGACTCAGATTTGGATTTTTTTCAATAACAGCTATAATCTTAGATTTAAATGAATGGTTAAAAATAAAAATTCAAATAAATGATACTCATATTTAGAGACCGGATTTCAATGTTATTTCACATTTTATTTTCTTGTGGGTAAAAAACTTCAAACCCGACAATTTATCCGTTTCATAATCTGTAGAATAACATAGTGAAATATGATACGGTACAAAATTGCACGTTTTGTTGCTGATTTTGGTCTAAATTGCAAGATTTGGATTTCTGTTGCATCAAATTACTAATTTTTCCTCTTTTTGTGCTAGATTAGATGATTTATAAATATTTGTGTGAACATTTAAATTTTATTTTACTATCTTATCCTAATTAAATTTATAAATCAAGATAGAAAAATATAAGGAAGGTAATTAATTCTGTGGCTAGCAACGGTTCAAATTTAACATTAAAGAAGGAAAAAGTAAACACATATTAATAATATTCATGGAATGTTAGAAAGGTATTTATTGTTAATGTTTTGACTTGAATTCTCACACATTCTTCATCCTTTCAGTATCCCTTCTTTTTTTGAAGTGATTTTTTTTGTAATTTTATTATTATTAAAAACAAAAAACAAAATTGAACAGTACCGAAAGTATAGTCTAGACTTTCGCCAAACATTAAAATGTGGATATCAAATTACCCCGAACTGAAATTTGATTGGAAAGTTGTCTTTTATATACACTGTGAAATATCAATTGTGTTTGATAGGAAATCACAGATAGACGCTCATTGTAGAATAGGTAAAAAAAAATATTTCTATTTAAGAATTGAATTAAATTTTTTTTTTCCGATTGCTCTAACACTTATTTGACAAATGCTTTAAACTTTCAATTAATTACAAAAGACTCTTAATCTTAATGTTCCATATGTCACTGATTTAGCCAGAACCAGATAGCTAAACTCTAGTCCCATCCGAATCCACTTGTTTCCAGCCTTGCTATTTTCTCAATTACTGATATTCCTCCTAGGAGTCTAAAAAGAAGAGGGCCTTATGATCTTATTTAGAATTATTTAGGCAATGCTACCACTGGGTAGTATCTCGAAAAGTCTGTTCATGTCATTATTTCTAATTTTTGCACATTTACTGGTTGTATTTATGTAACATATATTTCTTAGGTTTCCTAAAAAATCCTAGGAGTTTTATTTTCAATGTTACTTTTTAATTAAATTTTTCTTCTCTTTACACATAATTTTAATTCAGAAGCTTTGAAACAAGGTTTGATTAGTAACAAAATAGATAATTTTTGCACATTTTTAGGTATTAATTACAGAATTTTACCTATTTTAGGTTTTCACTGCATGATTTTGCACATTTTGAGATTTTTACGGCACATTCTTTGGTTTTTTACTGCAGGAAGATCCGATCTTTACTCATATTTACTAGAAACAATACTTTAGAATGAATTTTTATTTTATTTACTGGCAAACTATTGATAATTTATTGTGAATGTTATAGGTGTGGAGCGAACGGACAAATGAAATGTGATCCTACCGTTTGTGGACCACAGGAAGCGTTACTAAGGCAAGTGATGGATGCTGCAGTTAGCAGAAGAAGGTAAAATGAACAGCCCAAATCATAGGTGCCATTCTTAGCTCAAGTATTCACGACTGAACACACCTTGGTGATAGGGCTGTCACCTGCGGACTGATTTTTTATTGATATTTAAATAAACCGGTTTAAACTGGTCTCGGCACACCGATGAGCCACCAAAGGACTTTGGGCTTTGCCGCCTGCAGTGGTGTGTTTCAAAATAACTTCAATACAATTAAAGGACTGGTTCCAATGTTGTTAAAAGTATATATAGGAACCGTAATTATATTCCAACAGCCTACATTGTTTGATTGGTAGAAGTTTTGCCATTTTTTTTTATTATTAAAATTATTTGGACTATTTAATTATTAGGCAAGTGAGTTATTTCTACCTCCTGAACATTAGGCTGCCACTGTAAATGATAATTTTACTATTATTAGTTTGAATGTAGAATAAGTTATTTATGTATACCTATTTAAGAAAGTGAAAAGAAAATGGAAAGTTTAAATTAAATTAATGTGATTTAGAAAGTGTGATGTAAAGACAATAGTAATTCACAGTCTCAACTAGTATCCTAAAATATTTTCCACTTTTTTATATCCTTGGTATTATAGATAATCTATATATACCAATTTGTAACAATGTGAAATAAACATGTTCTTGTAAGTAGAGATTGTTATTTGACCTTTTCCTTCATTTATTGACTAGTTTCCTAGCATTTCTCTTCCCTAAATCCTTCCACCCACTTTTTGGCCTTCCTCTTTCCCTCTTCTCACAGAAGTTAAGATAAGAAAAATAAGGTAAGACTTATGAATCAAATGTATTGTTATATTAATAGAAATGAAAAAATAATTTTAAAAAGCAGTTAATAAAAGTCTGAAACAGTAAGTAAAATATGACTACTTCAAGATTGTAGTGTATATAAGTTAAAAGTTTGGGTGAAGGGGAAGTAAGCTCGCACATCTTTCTCCCTCTCAAGTTCCACCTCCCCAAAGCCTCTCTCCGCTCTTCACTGTAGCAACCACCTTATACTGGGAAAGTGTTATTCCATTTTCTTCAAATTTTGCACAAATGTTTATTAAAGGTAGAAATTTTAATTTTAAAATAAAAAAAACAATAGCGAGGATGGTTAAAAAATCAAACTAAGAAAAAAAATTATTCCCAGCTTCTGTTTTCATGAATTTATGTAAGTTTAAAATTACATTTTTTGTCTAAGAGTAGATAGTTTTTATTTTCTAAAAGTATAAAAACAACTAAGGTACTAAAGCTCTCCCCATTAGATGTCAACAAATGATAAAGATAAAGTCACTGTAGTCAACATATTTTTTCTCTTTCACCACTATGTAATAATTATACTGCTGAATTGGTTGCAATACATAAAGATTTAAATGTTATACAGGCCACTAAACAAAAATGGTCATATGCACCGATTCTCTATCCACTCTAATTAGCCTAGAAAATGTTTCCTCATCAAATATTATAATACAAAACATTCTGTACTCAATAAAGTCCACAAATAGAAATAACATATCAGTGATTTTTGTCTGGGTCTCTGGGCATTGCGGAATAGCTGGTAATGAACTGGCTGATAGAGCAGCCAAAAAAGCCATTACTGATGGAATACCTTATCAGGGAGTACCTGTAGAGGATTTTATAACTGTCATCAAACAAAAAATGAAGACAAAATGGGAACAGATATGGTCGAATGTAACCGGAAATAAATTGAGGGAGGTTAAGGGCGACGTTTCCTCTTGGGCATCGTCAAATAGAAATAACCGCAGAGAAGAAGTAATTCTTATATGCCTTCATATAGGTCATACACGCCTTACCCATGGATACCTGATTCTTGTGGGACTCCTCTGACAGTGAAACACATTTTAACAGAATGCAGAGCTTATGAAACATTTAGACTATCTTGTGACTTGACAAACACACTTCAACTACACTTCATTTTACAGGACAATACGAATGCTGTTAATAAACTATTTTCTTTTCTGAAATGTTCTAAACTTCAGAATACAATCTAGTTCTCGATGAAAATAAGGCAATCATGACCCTAGAGGTTGAAGCCTTAAAATTAAAAAAGTCACTGTAGAGTATGAACATTGAAAAGTGGTGCCCATTTTCGTTCGGGAGGGAGGTCCATAAAATTGAATCTCTGTCCTAGGACTACCCTCTGGAAATTATAATTCGATGAGTTACTGGGAATACTCGAAGAGGAGCGGTTCCCTGCCACGGTCTGTGTCGATGACCTGGCCGTAATGGAGGCATCTAGCAGTAGAGCCGACTTTTGTCGGAGGATGGTGCAAGAGGAAAAGACTTAAAATGGCAGGCGCCAAAACCCAAGCTATACTTCTAAAGGGTATGACTGCTAAGTCATGAGAACGACCCTATTGTCATGAATATACAAGGAATAAGAATAAGTCTGAATGAGGAAGTAATCTATCTTGGAGTAAGATTCAGTAGAAGATTCAATGTTACTCCTCACTTATACTACTTGTTAAGTAGGGTATAATCTTACTTAATGAATTTAAGGCATATTGGTGGCACCTTCTGAAGCCTCGGATACCCAGCAACGATGACTATCTATAATGGAGTAGTACTGGGCGTCTTGAAATACGTCTCCCCAGCTTGGAATCGTTATCTTTCGCAACTACAGAAGAGGAGATTGGCGACAGTCCAGAGACCGGCTCTGCTGCGAGTAACAAAATCTTACAGGACTGTTACCCATGAAACGGTGCAGGTTTTAGCAGGAGGGGTATCTATTGACCTTCTCCGACAAGAAGACAAGCTTAAGTATATTCTTAAGAAAAAAGACTCAGCAAGTCTTCCAGAAAATCTCCAAGAAAGGATTGCGGCAGATCCATCTAAATGATAAAGGATAATACGAGAGAACACCATTGAGCAGTGGAATTGACGGTGGGTAAGTATTCATAAAGGCTCTACCTTGAGGAAATACTTTCCTACCGTCTATTCAAGGTTGGAAGCGAAATGGGTCCTCCCTGATTATTGGGTTTCACAATTCCTCACAGGGCATGGAGGTTTTCGGGCCAGGGAAAATAAAATAAAAATAACAAGATCAAATTAGAGCTGGGCAAGTTGAATGAGGCTTATGAGTATTTCAATCGATTAAAAAATAACTTAAATTTATGATTGTTTTTGCATTTTAGATGAAAATGTAATAAATTGACACAAGAAATTGTTTTTAAAAAAACTAATAGAACTTGAAAGTATTGGACCAAATAGTAATACTAACAATAATCGAAATATCACAAGACTGAGTTAAAGATTATTTTCAGACCTCAATCACAGCAACTGTAATGGCAGAAATCTATTACTGATATTATTATTGAGTTCAAAATATTTCTCCTCAACAGGATTGAAATGTGACACTTGAAGTAAAGTGTAGGCTATATAGAGGGGTTAATGCTTTTCCTCCTCAAACTTACATTAATAAAAGAAATAGTAATTGACAAAAACATTTAAAAATCACAAAATCAGAAACAATCCCATAACAGAATTACTATACAAAATTAAGAATTATTTATAAAAGAATTCAAACTAGGTGAATTAAGATTAACAGGAAGATTCTTCAATATTATTCCTATTCATTGTGAGTAGCCTCCAGTAGGCTGATGGGCCATAATTGTTTAATGACAGATTATATTATGATATATTTTTCCCAGTAAAAGTATTATATTTTATAACAGAACAATAGTGGGAGTAAAAAAATGATAACAAATAGTTGCAAGTAGTTACCATATATATTGTTTAAATAACAATAGCTTTCTGTTATAAGGCTATTCATACTTCAACATATTTCAATTTGAACACATCAAAATAATATAAGCTTACAAATACTTATCACAAAACCATTCAAGTTTTTCCATTAAGTTAATTTATTAATTAAACAAACAAATAAATGATTTTTTTTTTCCTTAAAACTAATGTCTCATTAAAAGAATCCTTTATTTCTCTTTCAAGCATACATAATCTTATAATACACAACCATTTAACGTCAACTTAATACATAGACATATCTTAAATCTAATGAACTGGTAATATAATTATTATTATGATTAACAAATACAATAAAGTAATTACATAATAATAAGAAAATACAGATATCACAATTTAAATGTTTTTCCCGCCTCGAGTTTAGAGATAAATATAAAAATAAGCAACAAAAATTAATTTTTGATCTGTATTTGAAACGGAAATAAAAAAAATTTAAAAACAACACTAAAAAGCAGAAGAACTGGGACTTCACTCCGTTGTCTTACTTAACTGCTTTTTTAACAATGCTGTTTTGTCCCTTTCCTCCTCCATTTTGATTCCTGAAATGATAATATTACATTAATAATATTAATTACTTACAACTTACCACTTAATAAAGAACAAGTAAGGATGAAAACTTTCAGAACAGAACTAACTTAAGCATGCAAAAGGATTTCATTTAGAAAAATGTAATTTGGTCATCTTAAGACACCTAAGATTTTTACAAATTTAAAAAAATTAAGATTGCTTTGTTGTAAACCTCTCAAGAGATTGTGTATCCAACAGAGCAAATATATGTTCTAATATTGATATTAATAAAAAAAATTCAATATTTTATAAATAAAAAAATCTGGTGCGGTGCATGCATGTGGTGCTTTCATTTATCAACTTTAGAGTAGATAGGTATTTTTATAAGTGAAAAGGATGGTATAACTTCATTTAAAATAATTGATTACATTTTTCCCCCGCCCTTCGAATCTATTAAATTTATATGCTTGCATCGCTTTCCATTTTCATTTACAACTGTGCATAATATCAAACAATACTAATGGTTGAGCAGAAAAATGGATCTTTTGGAAAAATTTATCGAAAACGTTCAGTTTTAAAATTCAGAGTTTTATCAGAAACATTTAACATAAAACTCGTTGAAAAAATAACTTAATATTAATAAATATTGTATATTATTAAGTTTATATTAGTAGATCATCAACATTTCACATGAATATATTTTTTAAAAAATTATGGATAAGTGATATAGTGTTCGTATAGCTTGCAACCTTTAGTTCTGCTTTAGTTACAAAAGAATTTTCTTCATTAATTATATTTAACCATTTTTTATACTAGGTTATAGTGTGAAATGGTTAATTATTTGAAAAAAAAAAAAAAAGGAAAAATTAAAGGTACTTTAGAGGAAGAAATTTTGAAAATTATCCCTGTTAGAGAATATCAATGAGAATAAAACCTACACTATATTAAAAATCGCTTAATTTTGCACTGATATAATGAATTTAATCAAAATCGTTATATCCGTTTTTGAGGAAATCGTAAGAATGTGTTAAATCGATGATATAAAGTGTCACTTCCGGTTAGACGATTTTGCCAAAAAAGTAGCTATAACATCCAAGGCATATCAAAATCTTAAATATGCAATTTGACTTCTTATGAATTTTTGTTTTTGAGCGTTTTCGAGACATTATGTGGGATTTAGTTATTTGGATTGAGGGGACCTCAAAACATGTATTTCTGTTGAAAATTTTCACGATCGCAATACTTTTCTTTATTACATATTATATATGTATGTAAGTGAAAGTAAAAATAAGTTTTTTTCAGACTGTACAAGATAAATTGAGCTTTAATTACTATATCAAAACATCATACAACCATAACTTAATACATTTTTAGGTGATGAAACATTTATTTATTTATAAATTGGTTCTACTTTATTATTAAGTGTTGGTCCATTTTTAAACGTAGGCACAAGATTTTATGAAACTAAAAATGGATTTCTGATATTAATATTGACAAACTGCTCATGGGATAAAACTTCTCTTTATTTAAATCCTAATATACAACTTCTGAAAATTGCCAAATGGTTCGTTTCAATTAAAGTCGTAGCCTTAATTAGCTTTAATTACATCGCTGCTTACGACTATCGCTCGCTCAAAGGAACAAACAAAACCTCAATGGGTCCTTTTCGGTTGATATTGGTTCTTTACCCGAGTGTTTGATCACCTCTTTCTTATAGTGTGATCATGGGATCTTGTGCCTAACAATCAAATTGGAGTAACACTTATAAAGTAGTTTAATAAATTTACAAGGCTATATCTGCTCCAAAATATTTTAATTTTCTCTCTTTACTTCGTTTCAGCTATCTCATACCATTCTTAGATACTATCGAGAAAGTGTCCAAAATTAAATTACATCAAATATCATTTTTTACTAATTTTTTTGTCATTCCTTTACATAACATCAAATATATCTTATGCATTATTTGTGTTATAGATTATATTTTGATACCAGTTTATTACAAGATAGATTCATTTTAAGTAATATTATGAACCTAATTAAGACAAAGTCAATTTACATAACTGTTAACAATAATATGTTAGAGTTATACTTGTCTGAGTTTAACCATATATGTATTACATAATTATCAGTCTAAATTGAATATCAATGAATAATTTTAGCCTTCAAACATAAATATCTGTTGGGCCTAGTGTTTTAAAAACAAGCCTTGAGCTCTGACCTCTAAAGCTTGAGTTGAAGTCTCATAGAGTTCTAGCCTTTATGATTTTTTTTTTTTTTCTTAATGACATTTACAACTGTATTACATAAATATATCTAGTAAATTTGGACATAATAGATATAATGACATGAATACACTTGCTGAGTAACTACCCAATGGTAGCACTGTAATGATATGACTAAATTAGGAGATCACGAGGGGCCGTCTTCTTTTCAGACGCCTCGGAGGGTTATCAGGAATTGAAGAGGAAGCAAGGTTAGAAACGAGAGGGTTGGGATGATTCTGAAGTTTATTATGGAAGGATAGGTATCTGGATTGGGCCAGATCTGAAACATAAGGAACATTAAGATCTTTATGGATAATTTTATTAGTGACAAAGTAAGGAGCATTGAGGATTTTATGAAGGATTTTGGATTGTAAGGATTGCATGCGAGAGGAATTTGATGGTTTAGTGGAGCCCCATAGCTCAACTCCGTAAGTCCAAATAGGTCTTATTATAGTCAAGTATATGAGTCTTTTGTAATTAATGGGAAGTTTAGAGCGTTTGTCTAGTAAGTGCTGTAGTAATCGGAAACGTCGAGCGGTTTCTTGTCGTTTCAGTCTAGTATGAGGATTCCAAGTTAGTCGCTTGTCCAGGTGGAGTCGTAGGTATCGGATTTACTCAACAGGGATAAGTGGAGTATTGTTGTAGGACAGGCAGTCATTGGTTTACGACGAAGGGTAAAAGTAATTTGATGGGATTTATTGGAGTTTATTTTAGTTCTCCAGTTTTGACACCATTCTTTTTTTTTTTAAATTAAACTATTGTACATTTTCGTAAACAAATATATTTTTTCTGTTAGTTGTAACAATGTGAAATTTACGAAATTTTCTATGCCCCTCTTGGTTATATGTTACGAGTAGGTGGATGATACTTCATTTTACTATTCTATTTTTTTTAGGAGGGGGGAGGAGTTTAAACCCCCTCTCCCCTCCCGATTTTTTTTAAAGATGAAATAGCAATATGATTGGGTAAGTGGGTGTTAATTTGTTTAACTTTTTGGGGGAGGGAGGGGAAAGGGGGAATAATCCCCTCTCTGAATTTTTTTTTATAAAATGGCAATGTGCTTGGGTAGATGGGAGATACTTTTTCAACTTTAATTTTTTTAGTTTTTGTGGGGGCGAATTACTTCCCTCCCCTCCTCCTCCCGAATTTTTTAAAAGAATGGTATGTTGGCAATATATTTGGGTAGGTGGAGAATATTTTTTTTCCTTTTAATTTTTTTTTTTTTTTTGGGATAGGGGAATCTAATAACAAGAGGGAACAATAAAATTTGTTTAAACTATAATTCAAGGAACCGCCAAAGATGTAATACTACTAACAAACTTCATATAGAACAGTTTACTCTATTATAAAAATCGTAAAACAATTTAAAAAGTCCATAAACAGACATATGGTAAAAAACAAGTAAGGTTCGAGCCGCGACTCGATCCTTTTATTGGTGAGTTCTTTGGACTCAAGTCTTGGGCCGAGTCGGAAAAACTCAAGCATTTTTGGCTCAAGCATTATAGCCTTCTTACCAAGCTTTTTTACAACACTATTTGGGTCATTTGCTCAAATGATTGTTATATACCTACACAAGCAGTCAAGTTACACAACGTTTACGCTATACTCCTTGTTGTCAACATTCCATTCCTTGTGGCTTAACTGTACTTATTAAGAATAACAAGCAATGTAATGCAGCTTAGATAGTAACAAATTATGGGATGAGATAGATGAATCACAGTAAAAATATTAAATAAATCATAGTGAAGCTGTCATAACAAAATAATTATAATAACAAAAAGGCATAAGGGACCCGAAGGTTTGATGTGGATAACACCAATTGTAGTCTACATACTTCCATCTAACGGTTACAATCCCCCCCCCCAGACCACAATCCGATCACAGCCTTAACACAATCCTACCATCTCTTTGGCCTACCTCTAGGATGCTTACCAACTACCAAGGCACATATTAACTTTTTAGCGATTATTTTATTACTAAGCCCAACAATTTTATATCATATTTGTAAATTTGTATAAATAGTAAAGTTATCAGATCAATAATATTAAACAAGTACAGTTCACGCTATAGCAAAGCGGGGTAGTTCACGCTATTCGGTATTGTTTAAACATCTAAATTCTCAGGATGACTCATCCTTCGGTCTGAATATTTTAAGTAATACTTTTTTTTAGGAAACTTTCCAAATTTTAATTTAATAAAGGCAAATAACTCTCACGAGTTCAAAATAGGAAACATTCAACTTATTGGCAGCATTCGACTTATTTATGCAGTGGACTGTATTTTGATGAATTGGTAGGTAATACAAATTGTGCAAATCGACTCACAAATTTATGGCGGCTTAGACATCTTATCACCTGAGGGCCCCCTCGGTGCAGGTGTTGTCTGTGATAAAATGGGGTGAGTGCTACTTGTTGCTGGTACAGATTATCTTTTATCTTTTAGATCTTATCTGATCTAAAAAGATGTAAAAACATTAAGATGTAAGTTCATACCTTAGCGTAAGTGACCATGTTTCGCATCTATAAAAAACTGTTTGAAGAATAATGATTTTGTAAATTTTAATTTTTGTTTTGGGACAGGAGACGCGAGCTAAGTAGTTTTTCAACAGAAAAATTCCTGTCTTTAACCTAGCCTTAATTTACTCTTCAATTTCATTTTATCCAGATATAATAAACCCTAAATATCCAAAATTCTCTATGTCTTATATCTACAAGAAACAGATATAGCTTTGTAAATTTATTATTAAAACAGATATCTATTTATATTGAACATTTAAATAGTTGACCGTTGCATTATAAAGGAAGGAGATGGTTCAGGGTGGCGATCATTAAAAGGCTAAATAGTGGAAAAACTATTTTATTAAAAGCCAATGTTTCGACCCGACTTTGCAGGTCTTCTTCAGGGCTAGAACAAGCTGGTTCTAGCCCTGAAAAAGACCTGCAAAGTCGGGTCGAAACGTTGGCTTTTAATAAAATAGTTTTGCCACTATTTAGCCTATTTACGACCGCCACCCCGGACCATCTCCTTCCTTTAAATATCTATTTACCTTTAACACACCGTCACAGTATACAACAGCTGCTATGCAGTGGTGCTGATTGGTCTGCAGCAACTTCTATTACTAATGACTGGCTTCCAGATGGCCACTTCCCAAAGAGAGCTGAGAGATGGTCTCAACAGTAGACTCAAGGTCAAAAGACTTCCCACCCCCTGCATTCTGAACAACATTAGTTTTGGTGCCAACAGCGACAACGGTTCCCTTCTTCTTCAATGGCTTGGAATCATTTCCTGTTATGACTGCTTTGGCCTTCTCCTCATTAGTAGGTACATTCCACTTCCTACTGAGAACCACTGTAAGGTTCACAGTACTGAAGCTATATGACATTAAAAAGTTTCTTTTCTCAAGATCATGCACACTGGTTTCGGGGACTTGAAAGACTATATAGACCCCATTATCCTTTACTCTAGTGAACCTTAATGTCCATTTATCAATATCTTGGATATTGGCATTCTGTATGCGGAGCCTTCTCAAAATTTGGTGTCCTGGAATCTTCTCACCCCCAAAATATGCACTCATCCTCCTTATCTTCTTAAGCTCATCCATATTTCCAATACGGAGCATAATACCCCCAGTGATGGTATGATTCTCTATAATGCTAGTCAACCAGTCCTTAGTGTGTTGGTTGTTGCACACAATGATACATCCCCCAAGGCGGTATCTTTTTCCACTAAACTGAGGATGGATATCACCATGTACTTCTAGCCCATCTATCATATCAACTATATATGATACAACTTCTTCACTCTGGTCCCAGGACAACATGGTGGAAGGATAATCACTAGGGATAATTACCACCTGACTACCCCCAGCTGCTAGGGCACGGGCGACATAGTTTCTCTTCCCAATCCTGGCTGTCTCTGCTGTTGGCAAAGATATTTCTGGAATCTTGGCTGTCTCTGCAGTTGGCAAAGAGATTTCTGGAATCCTGGCTGTCTCTACTGTTGGCAAAGAGATTTCTGGAATCCTGGCTGTCTCTACTGTTGGCAAAGAGATTTCTGGAATTCTGGCTGTCTCTACTGTTGGCAAAGAGATTTCTGGAATCCTGGCTGTCTCTACTGTTGGCAAAGAGATTTCTGGAATCCTGGCTGTCTCTACTGTTGGCAAAGAGATTTCTGGTGAAGTTTTTGGCCCATTTCCAGTGGAGAGTTCGGGTCCTGTAGTACTCTGGGTCCTACTAGTCGAAGGTTCTAACTCCAGAGGACTGGCAGTATTCTTGCTAAGTGCTGCAACTTGCTTCTTTTTTTCTCTCCTTAGTTTCCTTTTCTGTTCCTTGGATACGGCCAGCTGGATGGAGGGATATTCATGAGGGATAATTGCCATCTGGTCACCTCCAGCTGCTTGGGCACGAGAAACATAGCATCTCTTCTCAGTCTTGGCTGTCTCTACTATCGGCAAAGAGGTTTCCAATGGAGTTTTTGTCCCATTTTCATTCATACTGCCAGTACAGAGCGCAATGCCCCCACTGATGGTGTAATTCTCTATTATGCTTGTCAACCAGTTCTTGGTGTCATGGTTGTCGCAAGCAATGATGCATCCTCCACGGTGGTAGCTAAAGCGACTAAACTCAGGGTGGACATCTCCTTTTACATCTAACCCATCTATCATACTGATAATATATGATTTAATTTCATCACTCTGATCCTTGGACAACTGGACGGAAGGATATTCAATAGGGATAATTGTCACCTGACTACGTCCAGCTACTGGGGCACGGGAAATGTAGTTTCTCTTCCCAGTCTTGGCTGTTTCCACTATCGGCAAAGAGGTTTCAGATGAAGTTTTTGTTCCATTTTCAGTGGAGAGTCTGGGTCCTGTAGTACTGTGGTTCCGACTAGTTGAAGGCCCGAATTCCGGAGGACTGACAATATCCTCGGTAAGTGTTGCAGCTTGCTTCTTTTTTTCTCTCTTTAATTTCTTTCTCTCTGCCTTGGATCTGGGGTTTTCAACTATTTCCTCCGGAACGTGTAAAGATAGGCTACTAAGTTTTTCTAGGAGTGTCAACAACGAGTTCCTTAAAGATTCCTCTGATGGGTCTATGACAGAACCCACAGATTCTTGAGTAACTTCTTCACCTCCTCCTTCTTCTTCTTCAATTTTAATTCTCGACTTGTCCTTTTCCAATAGAGTAGGTTGACTTCTCTCCAAATTAAGGTCTGTTCGCATTAATATTATTGTATTAATTAATGAGAGTAAAAGCTCAAGAAAAAAAAAGAAAGAGAGATAAAACATATGATTAGGGTTATTACTGGAAGATTCTAAAACAAAACCTAGAATCTCTTAAATCACAGTAAATAACTAAACAGTCAATGTTTCACCAAATTAGGCATCATGAGGACGGACAAACATGAGGTCACATATATACAGACCCAGAAATAAGAGATCTCAATTTAACAACCTACAAAAGACTAACCAAATTCAAATATTACACCATCCCTTCAAGACAACTTCTACTTTAACAAAAGACTATCCCTATTTGATTAATAATCTATTAAATAGTTATGTGAGATATGCTGTTATTGATCTTCATTTGTGATCTTATTCCCGAATGAGCAAAATGTTGGCTGCTTAGTTATAAAGTGCAACTTTAAAATCTTCAAATAATAACATTATTATCATTATACCAGTTTCGTAAATATGAAACCAGAATTTTTTATTGCATAAAAATGTTAAAAAATAAATAAAGAAGAAATTTGGTTCAGTACTTTGTAAGGAAGTACAGTTTTAAGGCTGTGGAAGGAGGTGATCGAGCTAAGGATCATGCTCAAATTTTCCCCCTTTATTAATTATTTAAATAAGAGTGCCCACTTCATATAGACTGGGTGTGTTCTAGGGGTTTCCTGACCCCAAGGTTGAATCACAGCTGATGAAACAGAATAAATAATTAACTGTCACCAGCCAGATTCGAATCCAGGACCTTCAGCTTTGAAATTCAGTGCCTTACACACTGAGAAATCCTGCTCCCTCAAAAATGTCAATAATGTTCAGTAACTGTTCTGATGGAACACCTCTCATATTTTTTTCATTTTAGCAGCTCATAATAGATTACACCCACGTTCCACATTCTTCTTCATTTTTCCCCCAATAATCGCCACTTTTGAAATTTTTAAACCACTCAAGCAGTCTAATTTACTAAAAGTAAGTTCACTGTAAGCTTCAAGAAGCGTTCAATGAGATTCTATAGTAGTTTTTTAAAACTGATAACATAAATCTAATGCTGTTCACAAATAGCGGTTTATAGCAACAAAACTTAACAAGTTCAACACTCTATTAAAATGAAACTATTATACGAAACATGCATTGTTGTGAATTGAAAATCAGCCAGCTGTCATAGAAACAAAATGGTACTAATATTTCAGTTTAATAGTAACTGCAATAACAACTAAAGCCATTTACAGATGAATTCCGGTTTCATATTTATATTAACTGGTGTACGAATCAACATTTGAAGTAGTATTTGGAAAAATTATGAAACTGTTTTGTTACCTTCTCATTGAGTTTAGTTACCCTACCTATTCAACAAAATATTTTTACATATTATGAACAATAAAGTGCGCAAAGGATAAAATGAATAAAAGATATAATGATAAAAAAATATAAGAATCAAGATAATAAAACAATTTCAGAAATAAATTTAAAAACTTTATTTATTTATTTTTAAATGACTGACAACAAATTTTAGGTATTTTGTTGAATTTTGAAATTAAAATGATGAAAAATTGTCAGGACATTTAGTAAACAATTTTTTCATTGATTTTGGGTCAAAGCGTCAGCAAACTCAATAAAGAAATTGTCCACTACACATACTGACAATTTTTCATCCTTACAACATGTTTTATAACTTAACAAATTTTTAATAACATTTTTCAAATTTATGAGCTTATTAATACTCTGTAAAATTTAGATTGATTAGTATTGCAGCTTCAACTCTTCCTGGTCTGTTCTTCATAAAGCTGGGAATCGGTACAATGCAGCTCTTGAAAATAATTTAAGAAAATTTTCTGAAGTCTAATCTGTCTCTTTCAGTATTCTCATCATTGCACATTGTCCTCAATGTAAAGAAAATTTTATTTAATTTCTTAAGGAAGGCATATTACTACACATTGAAGAACATTGTTCAGGAAGCCTCATTACCGAAGCCAGAGCTATCCTTCAGTTAAAAATGGTCCCCAAACTATGCTCGACTTCCACTGAAAACAGGATCATACTGGGGGTTTTACGTCAAAAATAAAAAGTATTCTGGCTTCGCATACGACAAAATCTCTCCATTGTCCAGGTGGCATGATTTCGGGCTTACCCTAGTCAAAATTGTTTATGCATGGAACTCATATAGACATTTTCTTACATATTAGGACCTTAAACCAGTAATGTGAAGAGGTATAAATACTATTTAAATGCTTAATCGCACTCAATTGATGTTTAGTAAGCTTGTCTGTGTAGTTATTATCTTCAGAAAAAGGTTTCGACGAGTACCCACAACAATAAAACAATCCTGTCTTACAGCTGTTGAACACAGGCCTCCTTCACTCCTAAATCGTATGGCACCAGTCTTAAGGATCCTAATTCTGATCCTTATAATCACACTTACACTTACATCAAACCTCCGACCCACACTTCTTACGTTCTGTCCTTCCCATTCTCATTGATCTTGATGACCATCATGGAAATAACAAAAGCTAACACTTCAAATGATAAAAGAAAACTAAACAAAAGAGCATATAGAGAATTAGGGTAATGTCTAATGCATCTTCGTCAATCAGATTATTTTCCCACTAACACTTTTCAAGGAAGTAGAACATCTTTTGGGTCCACGATAGGCTTGGCAACAACATTTTCCTCGCTAGGGTTAAGATTTCTTGCAAGCGAGTCTTCTTTAATATAATATTAATTTCCTATCTCTACCGTCCCACATACAGAAGAAGCAGCAATGTTTTGTGTACCCCAGTTGCATTCCTAAGAGTACGGCAATGGATTTTAGATCACCACAGATTTTGAATTTGTGTTCATGATACTTGAGAGAGTCCAAGATCTATCTATCTATCTACGTGGCGTTACAACCCTGGGTGGGTCTTGGCCTCCTCAATGAGCCGCCGCCATTCGGCCCGATTTTGTGCTGCCATTTTCCAGCTTCTGATCCATAGCAAGTTCCGTGCGTCCACTGCCACTCCATCAACCCATCGAAGCCTTGGCCAACCAGGTCATTGTGTACCGTGAAGGGCGGTGTCCTCTACTTTTCTAGGAATTTCTTCCATTTTCATCCTTGTGGCATAACCAGGCCAATTGAGCCTCCCCAGTTTTATAAACTTTACAACGTCCATATCGTAAAGGTCATTAAGCTCCCTGTTCCTCCTAATCCTCCATCTCTCACTGGGCCAACTATTCGCCGTAAGATTTTTCTTTCGAAAACCAAAAGATTATTTTCATCACTTTTTGAGATGGTCCAAGATTGGGAAGCATAAGTAAGAACTGGGCGTATAAGAGTCTTGTATATGATCAGCTTAGTGCCTCTGGTAATGGATCTGCTGCGAAGAGTTTTCATTAAGAGAAAATATGCCCTATTTGCTGCCACCAGCCTTTCCCTTATCTCAGCAGAGACATCGTTTATTGGAGTTACTAGAGATCCCAAATACGTAAACTCGTTCACCCTTTGGAATGTGTATGGGTCAACATTCAGTGCCTCGTCCCCACCAGTTCCTGTGTGCATATATTTCGTTTTATTCTAGTTTATGGCCAATCCCATGGCTGAAGCAGCGTCCATGAGTTTTCCAAAGGCCTTAAGGCCTTGAGTGAGTCCAAGAGGGATGTCATATTTGCATATGCCTCCTTCATATGAACTGCATGACCAACAGGGATAGAAGAAAGAAGGTTGTCATAGTGAAGTAACACAGCTTTCAAACTTAGCTTGGAGGAGTCTATGAATAGCCTCCATTCAGTTGGATCGTGGTTCAAATTCAAAGATTTCATCAAGCCATTAATATCGCAGCAAACAACAAGATTATTTTTCTTCTCAAAAAGGGAAGCAGTTCCCTGTGACGTTTTCTGTACTGTGAGATTCCGACATTACTTTCGAGAAGATTTCATTGCTGTAGTCGAGACTCAAGAACTTCTGCCTTCTTCTTTGATAGGCCAAGGTCTCTAATGACATCACATAATTCTGCTTGACTCAGTCTGTGCGGTTTATCATCTTTTTCCTCAAAATCAGAGTCACAGAATATGGAAGGCTTGTTTGGTTCTTCTTCTTGACCCACACTGTCTTCATTTTCTTCTTCAAACACACAATTTTTGGGAGAGTAGGAACCGGTAAACTATCTGAATGCAGATCGAAGATTTGGGTACTGAACTGTTCTTCACAGAGAATCCTGCCTTTATAGATAGAATAAAGCAAAAATAGCAGTCATCTGTATGGTTTGTAGGCGCCCGCCAAATCATAGGCACGGCGAAGGCCATAGATCGTTTCTTCTTTCTCACCCATTCTCACAGTGTAACTGAACATGCGTTTCAACATATATGTGGAGCCCAAGACTTATCCTGGTCCCCTACTTTCATAACAAAATAATGCTGATAGGCAGTATTTACAAGAGGTGTCAGATTGCGTTTCTATGAGGAAAATGTTATTTCACCACAAATATAACAAAAAATTATTCACCATATTTACACATTTTTACACTAAAAAAGCACTCTCAAACCAGAAATTCTGTATTAATTACAGCATAAACGATATGAAGCTCACAGCCACAGCAACAGTAACTATGTTCATGACTTAAAAACAGCTGAAGAGCATTTGTGTTTTGTTATTTGACAGGTGTACCAACCCCCCCCCTCCAATAAAAAAGTTCCTACAAATTGAAAATGTTGACTCTAAAAAATGAAATGTCACTTTATCTCCAAAGCAAGAGCTAATCTGTCATTTTTATGGTGATTTTCGAATTCAGCAGATGGAAATACATATGAATTGATTATTTTTGAGCCCAAAGCATTTTCATTTCTGTCCAGTGTTATGGATGTGAGATCATCAATTTCAATGAAACTTTTTTCAGTGATACTAGGTCGAAAAATATTAGATCCATGTCCAAACATTCTTGCTAATTATTTTCTTATAAATTTAACTCTTTTTGTATGTATTATTGTTTTTCCCGTTTGCTCTGCATACATTTATAGCTTAAGATTTGTTTATTTGTGTAAAATAAGAAAAAATATTTTTGATTATATTGAATGAATTCAAATATATAAGAAATTAAAAACACCAACAGATGCTTTCAGTAAAGTAACTATGGCATAAAAATTTTGTCATGGAAAATTAATTTAGATATGTTTCTAGTGACCTATAAAATTTAAAACTCTTAAATACAAATTTATATTGATATAAAAAAAATATAACTTTTTGGACTTGATTTTATTGGTATTTTTATTATTATTTTTTTTTTTTCTTTGTGCCATTTACTAAAACATTCATAACTTCTCCAAATTCAAAATTACTACAACCTCATTGGAAAATGGCATTACTGTTCTTCCAAATCAAAATTGATTTTTTTTTTTCAATATTTTGCTGCACTTAACGTGTTTAATATCTACAATAAAGCTATAAGCACTTATAAGAGGTGGATCTCATAAGAACTATTGGCGAATTAAGAATATAAGGCGAAATATTGAGTGCAGTAAAAATTAAAAAATGATTTTTCAAATCACCATATAAAATTTTAACCTAATTTAATTTTTATTTATATATTGATTTTAAACTATAATTATTATGAAATAAAAATAAACTTACGTTTAGCGATTTCTGGTGGTAGTTTAGAAGAGGAAACAAAATGTTCCAAATCAAAGCTGTTGAGTTCTTTCACGATGGACTTATAGTTAGGCCTGGTGCTCTCCCAGAAGAGTTTCATGAACAGAGAAGCGAGAGATATGTGAGCAGCAGATCTTCCCCTCACCTCCAGCAGAGGGTGCTTCGACCAATTTTCTCTCCAATCCAAGAGTCCGATGTATGTTACTGCTCTGGTTTTATATAACAACGAAGTAATATTTTCCAAGAGGCCTGTAAGGAAAAGAAAATGACGCAATAACAAAAACAATCATAAATCAATCAAATGCAGTTGAACCACTGTATAATGAACTTCCTTAAATTAAACATGGACAAAATTGTCAGTCCAAATCAAACCAATCAACCGGCCTTTCACAACACGCAACATACAACAAACACCAATTTTATTTTTAAAATGCCAAAATAATGTATAAGGAAAATAGTAACAACAAAAGAAAAATTATAGAGTCAATATATATATCACTAAAAATTTAAAGAATTCTGTTAACAACCATACAGATGTGGAAAATATAAATACTTTTTACGCAAATGTAATTAACAATATTCGCATATAATACAACAATCCACAAGATAAAATAATCCACTATTGCAAAACAATAGAAGAAAAACCCCTCTCCCCTTGACAATCCCCACCAGGACGATATAAGTCAGTCTCTCCAGAAATGACATAGGGAAAAATCTTAAATAGCAGGACAATTTAATTTTTCACTAAACAAATTAATGCGAAAGTGAGAATGAATATCTAATGGAGAACTAATTAAGGTAATAATCAATTGTTTTTAATGAGTAAAGTTACGTACATGAAAGGTTGTTATAAGAAAAAGTGTATACTTTTATTGTATAGATTTGTATAAATCTATGTGTAATGAAAATATTATGACATAGATCATTAGATAAGTTAATTATGTGTAATTAAAAATTTTTTTTGTAAATGTTAACTAATAATGATATTACAATTTTCCAGACTTGAACATGGCCCTAAGTATGGTCAAAACGTCGTAATAAATAACTAATAAATAAAATGTTGGTGAATAATGGCCTAATTTATGTAAAAAAAGTAAAACCTCAAGACACTAATTTTAGGAATAATGAACAGAAGAAATAAATTAAACATCTTTATATGAGGAGTCGGTCGGGGATGTGGTCAAATTAAATACTATATATTGTAAGGTTACGCTTCCTTTGAAAAGTAAAAAAAAACAGTTTCTGAATCAATTTATATTTATTTTAAGCAATAATTATTTCTAAGGTTGGGTTGAGACAACTAACACACATTTCTCAAATATATAATACAAAGGCATATATTAATTTTATATAAAATATTTATGAATTTCCATTCATTTTGTTGGGGTCTACTCTTGGTGCGCTTTCGTACTGTCAATATTTATATTTCATTCACCCTGTTCTGCAGTCAATCTTCTTTTATAATGTTGTCTTCAACTTCTACAATATTCGATTCTTCCTTTGTTGGCACTCACTACTTGTTAGCATTTTTCTTCCCTCGATTCTCTTTACTAGCCAGCTGGATACCTTCTACCCTAATATATGGCACTTGCTTTCGTTTCTATCTGTCCTTGTCTTTTTTTGACAGTAGCCCATGACGTCACTGCCTTCACGCCATTATTTAAAATTACTATGTAATATTTACATTACAATATTATAATATTGTTTATGGGTTATTGGTTAAGCCGATGTTTTGATCCATATTGTAGGTCTTCATCAGGGTGTTGTATCAGGCACTGCTGGAACACAGTTTACCAACTGCTTCCAGCAGTACCTGAAACAACACCCTGATGAAAACTTACAAAGTGGGCTGAAACATCGGCATAACCGATAAATTACCATATTACACCAATATAATATATGACCACATCCGCAACCAACTCCTCATATTATAATAACGGTCAACCATCTCCATATTATTATAAACATCTTTATATTATAATATCTTTAGTTAGGTTTTTTTTGGGTCACCAAATATAATATTGCATCTATATTTATATTATAATATCTCTCATTAGGTTTATTTGGGTTACCAAATATAATAATGCAGAGTCCATTTTTGAGTCCATTTTCGGGTACCAAAAATAATGTTGTGCCATTCTTTCAGACTCTGTTAATATGCCAAATATAATAATGTGTATTTCGAACAGTTTTGATTAACAATAGCAACTAAGTTGAGCAATTTATTTATTTTAATGATTATGAATGAATTTAAATTATTATTTTAAATACAATTGTTGACAGAGCCCTTATATTTAATAAATAAAAACATAACTGATACTTTACAAAATAATACAACCTCCAACACTGATAAGAGCCTTCTTCATTAAGAATTAAGAAACGGTAACTGATTCACTGACAAATTTAGAACGAAACTATCTACAACTACTAATAACCCTTGATCTACAAATATGTTATAATTTCAAACAAATTATCATTATTACTTTTAATTAAAATGTTACACTTACTAAATCACTATATCACCCTTTTTTTTTAGAGATCTTTAATTTTATCATAAATTAATATTCTGTAAATAAAATAAAATATCTATATATCTAACAAAAAGTCATATTTAAAAAAAATATTTCATTTTTATTTATGATATTTACAACTGTATTAGTATAAATACATCAAGTAAATGTGTACAGAGGAATATAATCACATGAAAACACTTGTTGAGAAACGACCTATTGGTAGTAATAAAAAAATATAAATGCAATTCTTGATAAAAAGGGCTTTTTAGTTTATGTTCACAAGAATGGACGATTATTTGATCAAGAAAAAAAAAAATGTATTCACGAATTCATGAAACAAAGAAAATTTGGGGGAGAAATTTCAGTGCCCAATGGATTGAGATTTCCTTTCATAATACATATTCTTATCATATATTTTCTATTATCTGATATTTTTTTAATATGTTTTTCTTTCTTGAAAAGTTTGATTTACTAAAATACATAATAACTGAGTGGGAGAAATTTTTGTTTGGGGGAGTAAATTATTATAAGTAATCAAAATTTTGTGATAAAAATAAAAAATTTCAATCCTTCTACATATCGAATTTCGTTCAAAGAACCTTTGTGTACAAAATAAAAAGGTTCAAGTGTATATTATTAATTATAAAAACTTTAAATTACCTTTTGGATTTGACATTTCGACAACAATCAAATACTGCACAGCATACATACAAGCAACCTCTGCTTGCCTCGAACTTATATATTTCTTCAGAAGTTCAATATGCTCAGTAAATTTTGACTGATTTAATGTATTTCCATCTGAAAATTTGATATCAATCATAAAACAAATGTGAATTATAATTCTTATTCAAGAAGAGAATATTGCATGTGTAATAACACCGAAAATAATAGGGTAAAAACATCATTAGTTGAAAGTGCACCAATATCTGACCTACTCCTCAAAAAATAGGAATAATAAAATTTCAGGACCTCCTAGACCTCGATTTCATATATTTTTAGTTTCCATGTTTTCTCCTGCTATATTTGTTGCTTTACTTTAGTCTTTTCGGAAATCGCAACCTAAATAATGAATGGCAAATTAGGAAGGTCACTAATGATCCACTTAGTGTCCCAAGAACAATCTGTCAACAATTACACAAATTCTCACAGTGCAGAGACCGGTCGAGATCTGTCACTTACAGATAGTCTCATTATATTTATTTATAGTGCGGTACACAAACATACGGCTGATACCCAAAGATTTCAAAGTGTTGAAAATCTCTGACCTACATTTTCTAACTTTGTGTAAGGCGATTACAGCTATTCGGTTTTCTTTATCACCCCGCTCCATATTAACTGAGGAAAAGAAGAATACAAACTAATTGGGATTATTATCCCGACATGTAAAGAAAATAACCTGATATAAGTAAGGATTATCTAAATAATACCCAAGGATGTAAACAAAGTTCAACTTTTGTAACAGTATTTACGGCAGAACTAGTAATGTAGCCTTATAGACTTCTATCAGTTTCATTGAAAGAGATTTCACAATTTTTCACTCTGTTACTCCCATAACGGCAGGAATGAATACTAATAAGTTTTCCTTTTATTCTTTGCCTACTTCTCATCCCTTTAAATCCTCTGGGTCTGGTAAGATCCTGAGTGCTTACATAACTACATCATTTGACTATTTCTCTGGAAGGTTCTGTTGGCTCCTTGATTAATATCTTCATTTAGTTTTCCAAACCTCTTCATGGGTCCTTCCTTAAATATGCGAATCTGAATGTGGATATTTATGGAGATTGATATATCACTAAGGCAAGTAACAATGGCTCAATTTAAACATTGCTGTTTGAATGTTTATTAAAAAACACCTACACTTAGTAACTAAGTAATAAATAAATAATTTATATAAAGTCAACTTATAATCATGATAAAATTTAGAAATTATATATTTATGTGAGAAGTGAATCCCTTACCAATAGATACACGTAGAATCGCTCTCATTAATGAATAAACAAACCAAGTCTTCCTTCCTTCAAAATTTTTTATTTCCTAGAACAACAATTTTCAATAATATACTTAAGATACTTAATTTAATAAAATTTGGGAGTGAGAAGAAATGTTAACAACTAGTGAAATAAATAAAATTGTGTTTACCCAATTAGAAAGCTTATTATAAATATCTCCATCCGATTTTAACAACTGTATTATTTCTTGTTCAGTCATGACGACAGTCGAATCGTCAGCTATTATACTGTCACTGACATCGACACTTTCCGACGGCTGTACGATAGAATTCTTATTTTTCTTCTTTGGTGTCTTAGCCTTTGATTTTTTCGGCATAACCTTTTCCTGAAATCAAGGGCGTTATTGATTTTCAAAGGTCAAAAAGAAAAGTATTCTATTATTTATCTATTTTTTGAAATTAAATAAAACCAACACAATACCATTTCTTGGTAATCCATTAGTATTTCAATATGAGACAGAGGAGCTCGTAATTGATAAGTCTCTTTCGGGACCCAACCGTTGTTCATCAGGTCGAGCAAGTCCATGAGCATGAACATCTGCCGTAATGGTAAATTTGATTCTTTTTTAGACAAATTAGCAATCCTTTCCCATGTCGCACACCAATCTCCTGCAAACTTCAGGAAATTATTTCAAGTTAGAGAATAATGGTCTAAATATAATGTATTTTTCTCATATTTTTGCTAATAGTCAGTGGTACAGGCATCCTTTTATCAAGTTATTAACATCCGGCTGAAAATTGGTAAATAGCTTCATCTCATCATAACCTACAAATATTTTATTTACGAAAATTCTCGGAATTGGGGCGTTTTCAATCTGGAGGTCGACAAACTTTTTCTATAATTAGATACTAAAAACTCTTAAATACCCCTTTGCTTTCCACTTGAATTGTAAGATAACTTGAGAACAAAGTCGAGAAAAAAGGTGGCCTTTAAAAATATTGAGTCGTTTAGCGTGACCTACACTCCCAAATTGTCAAAATAACGAGATTATATAGGCCATACGGCCCAATATTTCCCAAGGCCATCTTTTTTATCGATTTTGTGATCAAATTATCTTAGGATCCAAGTGGAAAGCAAATGGGTATCTACGAGTTTTTAGTACCTAATTAATCACACAAGGTTTGGCGACCTCCAGATCGAAAATGCCCCAATTCCGAGAATTTTCGTAAATAAAATATTTGTTGGTTACGATGAGATGAAGCTATTTACTAAGTTTCAGCCGGATGTTAATAATGTCATAAAAAGGGATCTGTACCGTGAACTATAAATAAGTAAATTATTAACATCAATGATATTTTCTCATTCTTTATTTATTTAATTATCACTAAAATGGAAAAGTAAAGATGAAAGTGTTAATTACAATTATCAATGAAAAATTCTTCTTTGATATAACTTAAGGTGACACCTTAACAAAAATTTCAATTATCGAATCCAACTTTATTTTTCATCTTACTTTTAAGATAATTTATTCTCAAACTTGATTCTTATCTTTTTGGAGCCATGCTCAAAACAAGGAAGACAATATTAAACTAAATTTAAATTGAAAATTATACTCAATATAATGAAAAAATTCAAAGTTCATATAAAAAAAAGGTTAAATTCATAGAAATTTTTAATATACAAAGGTTTAACTGTTTATTTACTTTTCCTGATCAGCATATAAGGGTGATTCTTACATTATGGGCATTTTTCATGATAAAATTTTAATATTTTTGATGGCATTTAAATACATTATAATAAATAATATAATTCTAAATACACCTTCTATTGCCGCTAAGCTTTATCTGAGCAAATGGCTGAGATCTAAAGTGCTTTTTGCTCAGTAATTAAAGTAAGTAAAACTAACAATTCATTTGTGGGAACGAAAGGAGTTTTCAACTTGGTAATGACATTATCATGTATTTTATTCGGCCAAAACCGCTGTGAAACTAGTATTATGATTTTTGTTTTTTCCAACTGACTTGCTACAGACCGTAGTCAAATGTGAATTATAATAAATCAAATAATTTTAAACAGATACCGGGATAATATACACGGTGATAATGACAACAATAAAGGTACGTGCTCAATGTATAAGAAACGGATGCATAGAGGAAGGCTTCCCAACTGGTCGGTCTATCCGCTGGTGGCTGTCCCTTAACTAGATGGCTACTACTAAACTCTGCAAAAACTTTGCCACTGTTCCCTCTTTTCAATGCTTAAATATCTGATGTGGTTTTTTGCTTGGTAATGACATCAAAGTGATGGGACAATGTTTGAAAATATATAAACATACTCCACTGTTAACAAAAGTTTAAAAAAATATATTGTTCAAAATGCCTTAATTATTCTTTAGGGGTGGAGATAAACTTCACTGTCATTTTACATAGGTTTCGAAAAAAAAAAATTGTTTACTAGAAAACTGAGAGTGTGACAATACATGGTAATGACATTTTAGTAGCTTAAGTAATTATAAAATCACACTATTCTTTAATATTTTAATTTTTAATATTTCATTATGAAGAAATACTTCTTCACCGTATAGCAGTGGGGAAAAAAATCAAATTAGACAACTAATCAAGTAAAAGTTTTAATGGACTAAAACTTGCTCCTAAAATGAGAATCCCCCTAAAATGAGAACCCTTAAAGAAAATCAATAATAAGGAATATGTTTCTTCTTTTTGCTGGGAAGCTGTATGATATTCTCTGTTTTTGGCAATGATAACTTCCAAATATACAATTGATTCATTTGTTTAATTTACATGTTAACGTTTCGGGAAATTTACTCTCATCTTCAGAACTTATAATCCCATATTTTCTTATCGATTTATGACTAAAGTCCGATGTACTCCTTTGTCATGTTTGAAATTTATGTTATAGATAAATTACAGTTATAATATCCAGAGCATCAACATTCCTATAGACCAATAATTGGATGTCTGCGGATGCTAAGAATAATAATTATCACTCATAGCAGACACCCAATTATTGGTCAATAGAAATGTTGATGCACTGGATTTCAAACATGACAAAGGAGTACATCAGACTTTAGCCATGAATCGATAAGAAAATAAGGGATTGTAAGTTCTGAAGATGGGAGTAAATTTCCCCAAACCTTAACATGTAAATTCAACAAATAAATCAATTGTTGTATATTTGGAAGTTATAATTGCCAAAAACAATGAAGGAATATAATACAAACTAATATAACAAGTAAGCAATTCAGGGTCTTTTTATCCATACAAAAATGATTTGTTTTAAAAAAAATTTAAAACAAACTAAACACATATACTCTAACTATCATTACCTCTGATTCAAGAGCAGCAGCTTCCAAATCTTTACCGTAGCTCGTTAGTAAACAGCAAAGGCCTTCAATAGACTTTTCGTTGACCTCACTTTGTAATTTTTTGATGTATTCAAATGTTTCTTTTACCGACAATAAATCTGCTTTGAAAAGTCCACCTATAAACCTTCAAAAAAGAATTAAGAACTTTATTTTGAAAATAAATTATATAAATTTAATTTAAAATATATATATATATTTACCTCACTAACCCTACAAGAGTTTTTCTTTTAATATATTCTTTTCTATCTAGGCTTATCAATTCTTCACGATTCTACAAAAAAATAAAATAAAATAAAATATTAAAAATAAAATAAAGAGTAAATTAATTATTTTCTTTGAGTTAAAAATAAATAAATAGAAACTTACAGGGTCTCTTGTGAAAAACCAATTTAGAGAAGATCGATTATAACAAAAGTATTTGTAGCATTCGTCCAAGACGAGAGCGCCAAAGGTGTCAATAGAGTCGTCATCTTCAGGTAACTCCACCAGTTCTATAGAACTCAATGCTTTGCAAGCATAAGCGTACAATTGTGAATAAAATGTATCTTTAGAAGCCTGAAACAAAATGAAAATCACATTGTCAATGCATCTTAACGTAAAAGTAACAGAATCTTTATAAATATATATAAAAAATTCTGTAAAGAAAAATAGTGTATATAATGAATAAATCCTATCTGTTCTTACCTCAGCCATGAAAACGACTTTTCTCAGAAGTGTAACTATACACTTAGAATCCCATCCTATCAATCAAAAACCAATTTCCAAATTTTAAATTTATTGAAACACTATTAGTGAATTATCCAGTCTAATCTTCTTTTCTTATTCTCATATTTTATGAATTCTTGAAGGAAGTTAGTCGACTGTTCTACTTATCATGGGTGATAAATATTCAGGACGCAATCATTATAAAGTTTTTATGGGTGCCGACATTTCAAACCAAACATGTGGGTCATCATCAAAGCGTGTTTTGAGCACTAACAGGTTTTAGAGTGTTTGAAACAAGCACTGATGATGACCCACATGTATCAGTTGAAACGTCGGCACCGATAAAAACTTTATAATGACTGTGTCCTGAATATTTATCACCCATGATTTTATTAATTAATATCTACATATAATAATTTTTCATTTTAATTATTGATTATTTCATATCTACTCATTTTATTGGCCAGCACTTGCCACCTTTCTTCGTTTCTACATTTAAACAATTCACTACACGAATTTATTAACCGAGAGTATGAATTAATTTATTTGTTCTCCTGTGTATATAAAAACGAGAGCTTTAACTAAACATATTGAATATTTAATAGTTGACCGTTGCATTATAAAGGAAGGAGATGGTCCGGGGTGGCGGTCATAAATAGGCTAAATAGTGGCAAAACTATTTTATTAAAAGCCAACATTTCGACCCGATTTTGCAGATCTTCTTCAGGGAGGTGTGTTCAGCTAGGTTTGAGTTTCTTAGAACTTGAGTTTCAGTTCTAAGTGAAACACCTAGCTGAACACACCTCCCTGAAGAAGAACTGCAAAGTCGGGTCAAAACATTGGCTTTCAATAAAATAGTTTTGCCACTATTCAGCCTATTTAAGAAAACACATAGAATCAACATTTACCACAAATAACATAAAAAAACATAAGTACATAGTAAATTATAAAACGGATGTGCAATATATACAGTAACATTAAAAAAATATAATAAACGAAACTAATATTTAATAATTAAAAGTAAATAAAAAATTCAAAAGAAAGACAAGACCTAAACAATTTAATAATAATACTATTATAATAAACATGAAGAGTGGGACACATCTTCAGATGCAAAATGCATATCTGAGGAAAAAGGATGCACTAACTCACAGTTGACTAATTGCTTTTAAATTAAGATAATTATATCTCTTCCTCATAAAAAATAATAATTGCTTTTAATTTTTAACCATGTTTATATTTAATATTAATATGGGAATTCCCGGTGAGTTAGTGAGATTGACCAAGGTATGTACAAATGACCCCAAATGTAGAGTCCTAATAGAAGGAGAAGCATCTGAAGCCTTCAAAGTTCGAACAGGCTTACGGCAGAGAAATAGACTATCACCGATGTTGTTCAACATAGCCCTGGAGAAGGTAATAACATCACAGGGAAAATGGAGGGGTCCACGTCGGAATGATTCATAAAATCCTAGGATACGCAGATGATTCAATGCTATGATAAAGCCAGTTCTAATATATGGCTGGAAGACCTTGACACTAACCAGTACCCTAGAAAAAAATGTTGAAAGATTTGAAAGGAAAATTCTCAGCACGATAACCGGAGCAATCTGGGATCAGAGTACTAACACATGGAGAAGAAAGACCAACAAAGAAGCTTGTAGCAATCCATTTGGAAGGCCAAAAAGATCAACAAAAATGCAACAGAGCTGCGTGCAGATAAATGGAAAGAAAGAGCCCAAGGCAGGCAGAGATGGAGCAGGCTTGTTAAGGCAGCAAAAGATCTACATGGTCTGTAATGCCAACAGAAAAAAAAAATTATATATATAAATATAAATAAAATATTCATAATTGTTGGTAAAATGGTTGACTGTCGTGAATAATGAAGAGAAGAATAGTTGGGGTGATCAGTCAAATAAGAAGGCAAAAATAAATGATAATATTTATTTTGACATTTGCCAATGTTTCGACCTGAAGTTCAGGCCTTCATCAGGGCTAAGAAAAGAACCAGATAACAAGGTAGGAGAAACATGAGCAGTGTAGGTAAAAAAAATTAAATTAAAATGAAGTTGTTAGAATAATGACAATAGTAAGAACTAAGAGATAAATAATAATAACCGTTACAAAGTGTGGAATGATGAAGTAAACATGATCAAAAAAGGTGACATAAGTATTAAAATGGGAATCTTAGAATAAAATGTAAAACAGAAAAAAGGAATATGAAGTTAGATAGAAAATTGAGATATTGTAAAGTCTATCAAGATGTACAGACAATGTATAATATAATAAAGAGTTAAAACAGAGAAACGGAATGAAAGGAAGGAGGGAAGAAACTGAGAAAGCTGAAATAAGAAAGAGATAAAAGAAAAGAGTACCTGTCTCAATCAGTGTTGAAAGGGGAAGCAAAAATAGTAGCAAGGGAGGGGGGAGAGAAGTCTTCAGGTCGAAACGTCAGCAAATGTCAAAATAAATATTATCATTTATTTTTGCCTTCTTATTTGACTGATCAGCCCAACTATTCTTCTCTTTATAAATAAAATATTGTTTTAAATAAAGAGGATAAGAAAAATAAACGGAGAATTTTGGAAATATTTTAGAAGATAAAATTGATGAATTAATCTAAAATATGAAATTGACAAATATTATTGACAAATATCTCCAAATCAATATTTTCTGAGAAAAAAATGTCAGTGAACGTCTTAAAAAAACCTGACAATTAAATTAAGGGGGCTGTTAATTAAATAAAATGACGTACCTGTTCAGACAAAAAACAACACAGAGGTATCTATTCAATTATATCTATTAAAATCAATAATTAATCAATTATAATCCATAACTAACAGGTACACTTATTATTACTTGTTACGACACACTGTTACTTGTTATGTTAAAGTTAGAATATAGTTCAAAATAAAAATAATAACATAAATTACTAATGAACATACAATTCAGTAAACAAAACCACTAATAATAAAATAAAAGATTAATGAACATAAAATTCAGTACACGAAACCAGTAACACTTAATAATTAAAATCAGTTATAAATCAATTTATCGACAAAATCAAAACCAACCTTTTGAATCAATTGTCGGACGAACATTCGCATAAGATGAAGATTGTGAACTGGTAAGTTACATTGCATTTCCATTAACTGGGTATAAAAATTGTCGGGAGCTAGTTTATTCAAAGCACCTCTAAGTTTTTTCAACAGTTCCTAAAACAATTTATTTTAAGAAAAAATTGGAAATAATTAATATTTTACAAGGAAGTTAAAAGAAAATATTAAATTGTAAATAATTACTTGAGCAAATTTATCATCTTCTGACAAGTTTTCAAATGCGAGTTCTTTACATGGTATCGATCTAGAAATAAAAATAAAAATAACAAATACTTTCATTAGTAAAATGTAACTTTTATGTAATGATTTTGTTTTACCTTTCAGTCTGATTTTCAATTTTATCGATTTCATCCAACAATTCACACAAATTGATCCCTGGAAAATAAATATATATAATCATAATTAAAATAAAATGTAATTAACAAAAGTAAACAAGGCTAAAATAATGTAATAAAGCTTGAAAACAAAGAACCAGTTTAATGAGCTAATAGCGAGTTTTGAGCGGGCGAAACAACTAGTGCGATAGTGATAATGCATAAAATAGATTCGAAAAAATTATTTAGGTACTAGTTCAAAATTGCTACTCTCAAGATGGTGGCTAGTTTCAAGATCAACTTGAACATACTGTATCTGGAACCTCGTACTCTAAAAATAGTGATTTGATTATTATACATTTTTGTCATTATGAACGAAACAGTTTGTCCTTAATTTATCACTTTCAGTACATTTCAGTCAAAAATATGTCGTTATTACATGTCATTTGCATATGACACGATAGCCAACACATCGTTATTTTCAGCATTCCTTGTGTTTTCATCAACAGTGCTCAAATGGATCTTGAAGTAATGATTTCCAACTGGTACCTTTACATTTTACTTTTAATCCTTTAATGAAATTAAAAAAATAAAAACTTAAGTTTGATTTGATGGACAATATTATATTGGTACAAATTGATCTCTCATGAAATTGAAAATTTCTATTCAACTAAACCATGATATAATATACACAATACTTCTAAAGAATTTAATAGAGAAAACAAAATGATTTCCTAGTTAAAGAAAAAGTTTTATTTAAAAGAATTTGCTATTATTTTCTGTGTAAAATAAGGTCGATTCATTAATGTCAATTACTAAAATCAATAATTTTTTTTAAAACTAAACAAATCAATGAAACCTCAAATAGACCAATCATATATAATTCAACCCTTAATTGAAAATTTTAATTAACATTGTCATGTTTGCATTGCTTCATATTTTCAATAAACATTACTTAATATTAAAATTATATAATGCTGTGGTCCAATTTGGTAAATAATATTTTCTATACAAAATATTCAATGATATAATATACCCCGTTGTCTTCTGAGCTCTTCCAGACTTTCACCGGGATTTAGAGAATAAAATTTTTTGGCAGGGCCCATGGCGAGAAATTAAGGAAAAATGAATAGTTAGAATTTTAACAAAATGTCTTGAAAGAGATCTGAGGGATAAACATATCAGGGGCTTAGTAAAGGCCAAAGAGTAACTATTTACTATGTGACAAAGAGATACAAAATAACAGGACATTCTTTAAAACAGCTAATCATTCAAGGATTTACAACTTCAATTGTATGGTTATTTAGACATTTCACAAACTATGAGAAAATAATTATCTAACTTAGCTAACAGCGATATCATTGCTAAACCAAAATATTTATTTTATTTCTCTTGATACCGCCAGCAAGCAGATGGAAGATAAAGAAACAAAACAAACAAACAAGAAACAAAAATAAAACCATTTATATATTTGTTTGTCCCTTAGTTTGTGAAATGTCTCAACACACCTTTGTGATTGATAAATAGTCAGGAGGCAGTATTTAAAGATTTTTATTGTTACCGACGTTTCAACCCAAGCATATGGGTCATCATCAGGGCATGTTAGTAGAACTTAAAGTGTTGTGTTCAAGTACTTTGTTGACTACTTGGACACCTTCACTGCTGCTAAAATGCCCTGATGATGAACCACATGCTTGGGATGAAACGTAGGCAACAATAAAAATCTTAAAATTACTGCGTCCTGACTATTAATCACCCATGAGATGCAGTGATGCCCATCCCTCCCAAGGTCGATTTGTTTTCGATTGCTATTATTGTCATTCGTTTAACTTGTTAAAATACTATTTCTATGCAGATTCTGGTTGTTGGGATAGAATTTTCTTCTTACTATCAAACATATCTTTTATATTTTAGCAAGTCCTTTCGATTTCTATCAAGGAAAGCTATATTTTCTGTAGATCTAAGGATTTTATGATTTATTCCAATATATACTCATCGATCTCCACACATAATGTAACACAATATGTGCTCAATAAATTTTCAGTTAGTTAAGTCTCGATCACTTTGAGCGAGTTAACAGGTTCCATTTTTCAAGGACTAGTCAATACTAGTAGACATGTTGCGCGATTTTTTTCACAGGTTGTCTACCTAGACATGTCTATAGACAAATCCCCGTCTACGGGCTTGTTGCGAAACAAAAAATCGCTGGTCTGAAGTCTTCTGAACGGAATAGGAGACAATATGCTACGTTAGACATGTTGCGCAACAGTTTGATAGTGTGGAGGTCTCTCGGTCTGTCTCTAGCTACTAAGTGTTTGGTACCGTTGTTTATCTCTCCAACCATCAGAAGCAAATCTTCAAAAAACTAAAAAAAAAATAATAACATTTTGTGTGAGCTAGGTGAAATTCCGAAAATCCATGGCGTCTTCCAGCCAAATATTATTTAATTGTGCATTGCCGAACGTAGATTCATCTGTGTTTTCGCGTTATTTCGCTTGTAATTAGCACTAAGCAGGAACATATTCCACACAAAATACTATCCTCTGCGGCGATCAGCGAAGATGAGGCTGAGAAATTCACATAGTAGTGTGGACGCTAGACGAAACAAAGAACGGTGTGTCTAGACCGTCAATAGACTATGTCTCTAGATGGTCAATAGGCAAATAGCGCTACATGGACTACTAGTCAATGCTTAAGGTGCAGCTTAAAATAACACTTTATTTTATTTCTTTATTGTCATGTGAATGAATGACTTGTGTCATGGGAATTTATGAATACTGAATTGCAATAAAATGTATATATTTTTAATGAAGATATGTATAGAAATGTTCTGCCTTGATGAACCTAAATAAACTTACTACCTGGCCCCTCTCAAGAATTATATTCACTACGAGCGTTTGATTCTCTTGTCAATAAGGAGCATTACTGTCAAATTCCTTCCTAGATTGTCTTTGAAAGATATATTTATACTGAGATTTTACAAATTCCTTTTCGCCAGTTAAGGTACGTTTAAACATTACCCAACAATGGCGAGCACAAGCGTTTAAATTAATTTGGTTACGAATAGGCATGTTTTTTTATGTTCGTGGTCGAACCAATCTACTGTCGGTTTTTTTTTTGGCACAAATCAAATGGAGCTTGTGACTCGTTTAACAAAGATGCTAGAGTGTACTTGTTTTAAGTAGAGCATTTAATTGGAAGATATACGGATGAGGGTTGTCGAGAATCCTATACAATGAAAATGGATAACTCAACAAGATACCATTGATGAGTGGAACCAGAGGTGCGTGACAAGCGCTCTACCTAAAGGTTATATCTTGAGAAAATATTTCTCCATCGTCGATCACGGTTGGAAGCGAAATGGATTATCCCGAACTATATTAACTCTACGAGATACACGGATATCGTCGCATTTCCCAAGACAGGAAGGACAGCGCTGATCTTGGATCCAACTGTCCGCTTTGAGAGCAATGACCTCGATCAGGCGGGTGAAATGGAAAGGGAAAAGAAGAACACGTATGATAAATGTATCCCTTTTCTAAAAGATAAATTCCGTGAGACCTTCGGAGAGAGAGTTCACCGTGAGAGGCCTCTGGTTTGGGTCTCGCGGAACTATCCCAAAAAGAACAAGGAGCTTCCTCGAGGAACTAGGTGTCGACATTAAGGACGTAGTGAGGTTGGTCTGAAAATATAGTCCTCCACTCCCTGGGAATCATTCACCACCACATGCATGGCTAGCCCGAGAGTTTTAATTTATGTATTTATTTAATGAATAATTGAAAACAATAGAGATAAAGAGAGAGAAGTGAGAGAAAGGGAAACTAAATGATAAAAAAATAAATAAAAAAAGCATGAACAATGAAAGGAAGGAAAAAGGAAAAAAATAAAATAATAAAAATGTATATGTATATATATCTGTTTTACTAATATTAACTAATACTTCTGTATATTTATATATAAGTTCATATATTGTCCTAAGGATAGAAGAGTATGCTGTGTATATAGCAACCCAATATAATTGGGCAGCAATCCTTTATATTTTATGAAAATAAAGTGCTTCTCTCTATAATGGTGCAGAGATGGTTGACAGTGATGTTATTATCTATGAGAAGGAGTTTGTTGAGTGTTAATTCCTACCCCGACAAATTCCTTCTCATATTATATCATTATTAGTTTAGCTCAACAACCCACAAGTGTGTCTCGGCTTCCTCCAGCAATTATCGCGATGTGTCCCTGTTCAGTGCTGATGCCACAGGCGATCTACGGGGGTGGGGGCTTTGGGGCTGAAGCCCTCCCTCCCCCCTAAAATAGTAAAATATAACCATGTTTAATCGAAAAAAATATTAAAAAATTATCTCTTAAAGTAATATTGTTCGTGTAATTACATTTAAAAGGACTTTATTAATCAGTTAAACACCATTTCATATTGGTAGTTAGTTTCTTTTTTTTTTCAAAGTAATTATCGTTATTTTTATGAGCTTTCAGAGAAAAAAAAGCTTTCAGGCTGAAGCTCCAGTAGCCTGATGGGTCTCACATTCACGGGAATCCCTTATCCAGCATAGCTTTCCTCAACGGACGGTCGCCCATCCAAGTATTTATCCTTATTGACATTCCTTAAGTTTTCTTACAGCAAGTGCCTTAGCCTCAGGCATCACAGCCCATATGGTACTATGATTTAGTGTAATGTAATTGTTTATTTTATTGAAATGTTTGCAAAAAATATATCTGCAGGAGTGGAACCTGAACATACCCTAAGAGAATATTGAAGCGGTCATCAACCTCAAAAAGCAAAATAAAAACTAAGCCATGGTTTGACCTTTCCTCCAGAGTAAAATAATTTTCAAATTCAATGTCTGCTCCTTGCTTTCAAATTCCTAATCTTTTCTCTTTCATAAGAACAGTATCCTGGCCTCCTAATAGTTCCTTAAACATTCCTAAACCTAACCCAAATCCTTTTGGCTTTATATAAAGGTTACATATATGATAACATGGCTTTTAGGGATAAAAGGATCTCTTGATACTATATTTATAGTTAAAATATATCGTGTTTTATTTTATATGGAATGCGTTGAATTATGATAAAATTGAAACAGTGGTACCACCAACAGCATATATTTCATTATTTTGAAATTTAAAAATAATTATAATCACTTTAATGGTATTTGTTCTGAAGTTATCTTCCTTTGTTTATTGACCACTTCAGGATTTGATAAATATTCTTTCTACACTAAAAGTTAGCTATTCACTTCTTGGTAAAAAATGGATTATTTATTATATATATATTTATTTTTTGATATGGGAATTATTATTATTTCATTAAGATGAAGTATAATCAGTGACGGTCTGAGGCAAATTTTGGGATGGAGCGAGATCCAATTTTGGCGCCCACTCTTTATAATAATAATAATAGTTTATTTTTAAAATAGGACACATTTTACATGTATTTATTGATGTTTGTTTTATAATTAAGATTATTTCTTAAGCTACAAGCAGTTTTTTAGTTTTTAAGTACTCATTCGTAGTTGCCACAGCAACAATGACAGTAGGGGTAAGTGAAGAAGAGTGTTTACTTACCTCTGGTATCATGTTTTTGCCGGCTCAACTAACAAATAGACTAGAATATTAAAATAATTCGTTTATTTTACTTACCTATAGATGAAATATGAAGTACTGTGATTATATATTATAAGTTTTAATTATATATTTTAAGTTAGACTAGGGATGTACCACTTGTCCGCCCAATAATAGCAGACCAACCTCCTATTCACACCTTTTACAACTGTTCATGTAATTGTACTACTTGTTGCTCAAATTGTATAACTGTAATTTACATGTATTCTGTAGTTCATACTGTATTATTTTTCATCAACATATAATAAAACGGAATGAAATCACAGATCGGACAAAATTTTAATTTCTTTAAAAATTTATATTATACATTGCACTTTATTGCCAATTTATATTATTATATAATTATAATTATTCTTATTGCAAATTTGTAACCATAATAAGAGAGAAATAATTCTGGGAATAAGAAGGGTGGTGTGTTTTCGTTACAGTCAGTCTTGCTTTGTAAATGTAAAATAAAATATGACAGTCACTAAAAACTTTTTTATATAATAAAGAGATATATGCTCGGGATGCTGCAGCAACTTTTCCACTAAAATCGTATTACCAGATGTGGCACTTTTTATCATTGATTTCATACATTTTCTTTTCTCGAAAAGAACTAAATTTTTATTTAACTCTTATGTCATTTTAAAATTGAATAATATTTAATATCAGTTATATCTTACCCTCATTGAAATAGCCTGATGAGTGTTTAAATGCCAAATTTTCAAAATGGCTTTCTCTAAATTTACTTTAATTTTATTTATTAAAAATCATTAAAGGTTTCCCATTTTTAGTATTAATACAAAATGCATAAATATGAACTAAGAAAGGATTTGATGATTAACTAAAGAAGAAAATTGTCATTCTTTGTCTTTGTGTGTGCCTTTGTCTTGTCATTCTTTCAAATGCACCCATCCTAAGGTCACTTTTTATTATGCGAGACATTCATTTCTTCTGAATTGAGCAGCCACTGCTCTCACTGCATTTGCCGTTCTCACAGTTCGGGGACGGCCTGATCAAGGTCTGTCACATACAGATAGGGTCTCATTATATTGCATTTATAGTGCGGTACACGAACATACGGCTGATACACGAGTTGAAAATCTCTGACCTACATTTTCCAACTTTGTGCAAGGGTTAGGTCAAATAAATACTAAATTGAGATATAATAATTATTTAATTTTTGCTGATGTTTCGACCCACTTTGCAGGTTGTCTTCAGGGCTACAAAAGATACAAAACATGGTGAAAATAAAAAAAAAATGAATATAAGCAGATATAAAATAAGAAGTTGTCAGATACAGAAATAAAAAGATGATATCAGAGATATAGTGGGTGACAATGTAGTTAAAATATCAAGTATTATATATGTGGAAGATACAAAGAAATGGAAAATAAGTATGAATAAAAATAAAAAATAAAGCAGAATATAGCATGTAAGTTAAAAGTAAACAGATTGCGATAAAAGATAAGGAATAAGTGTATAACAAACTAATAGAGATTACATTTGATAATTGTGGGTTAACAGATAAAGAAAATTATCTGTTATTTATTTTAAAATTATTGTTATTTTCTTTATCTGTTAAACCACAGTTATCAAATGTAATCTCTATTAGTTTGTTATACACTTATTTCTTATCTTTTATCGCAATCTGTTTACTTTTAACTTACATGCTATATTCTCCTTTATTTTTTATTTTTATTCATACTTATTTTCCATTTCTTTGTATCTTCCACATATATAACACTTGATATTTTAACTACATTGTCACCCACTATATCTCTGATATCATCTTTTTATTTCTGTATCTGACAACTTCTTCTTATTTTATATCTACTTATATTAATTTTTTTATTTTCACCATGTTTTGTATCTTTTGTAGCACAAGATACAAGAGCCTGAAGAATATTTTTCAATATAATATATTTCAATTTAGTATTTATTTGACCACACCCCCCGATTAACTCCTTCTCATAACAAAATTAATCTTTTAGTTACCATTTAGGTTCTTATCCCTTATGGCTGTTAAGTATGGTAAATGCCTGTTAGGCACTTAAATTGAATTATCAATTTAAAAATCGACTCTTACTTGTTAGTATTTCATAACATTTACTCCATTCGTACTTTTATTTACTAATTATTCTTTATTCATATTAAAAATAGAATTTATTTTAATTGTATTCGTAGGTGTGAAATAGCATTTTGTTCCAAACGTTTGGTACAATGGACCACAGAACTGATAAAAGTTTGGGTGTATCAGGATCGTTAATTCACCATCATACATAAAGATAAATACAAGGTGAAGAAAGTAAATGACAACAAAACATCAAAAAAAATAATTTTCATTTTATTTTCAATAACTATATATTCAGTCACATAATAAACTTTGAGGCCTTTAAATTTAAAAGGCTTATCACACTTTAATGGCAACACAATGATAAAATAATAGAAAAACCTTATACTCCAATAGTGATAAGAACAAATCATAAATAAATTTAAGTTACAATTAATTTAAAATAAATATTTTATCAATAAAAAACAAAAATTATATGACACTTAAAAACTTGATTTCGATTAACAAATTTAAAACAATAAGCTAATATGAAAATGATCACAATGAGAATGATTTAATCGTTCTAAAATATAAAAACGTTTAACATAACATCAACGATAATCGTAAATTATAAATGTTTTCCCATTTTAGGATGTAAAGTATACCATTTTTTCTTCTTTTTCGATTCTTTTTCGGACTCGTCTAAATCTTTATCCATATCTAGCATTTTTAAAGAATTGTGTTTATCCTTCTTCTTTTTATGTTTTTTTGTCACTTTCATCCGTTCGTCGATTATGGCTACTGGAAAAGACAATACGAACATATTATAACGATGATTCGCAATAAATTTTCAATTTTCTTTTAATAATACATGCTCCTATCACCATAGACATGCATGCACGATTTACATTTTTAAAGTAAATTTTGAGGTTGAATCATAAGAATTATCTAGTTTTAGGGATGTTATTCGAATAAGGGAATATGATTAAAATTAATTAAACAGAATTAGTGAAAATGTGGTAGAAAAAAAATTCCAGATAGGAAAAAATAACACTTTTATTTTGTTTAAAACGTATAATTTAACACACAAAGAGATTTCTATTACCTTGAGAAAATCGGTCCAATTGCTTATGAATACTTTTGTCTTCTTCTGCTTCCCTGAGCCTATCCATTTCCAGGCACTGTACGATGGCATCCCTTCGTTCAACAACTTCAATTAATCTATAACAAATTAACAACACAAATCAATTCTACACCTTTTTAAATAATATGATATAAAAATGGAAAAATAATGAAATAAAAAAAAAAATGGAAGAGCTATTTTGTTATAAAAGAGAAGAAAGAAGAATTAAATATAACTTAATTGTTATTAAATGAATAGTATAAAAAAATAAATACCATACTATTAAAAATACTTGGCGATACAGACCCCATTTTATCAAACCATTATCATCCGGCTGACACTTCGTAAATAGCTTCCTCTCATCGAAAATCAAGAAAAAAGGTGGCCTTCAAAAATATTGAGCCGTTTGGCCTATACAACCTCGTTATTTTGACAATTTGGGGTTGAAGGTCCCGCCAAACAGCTCAATATTTTTAAAGGCCACCTTTTTTTTTTATTTTGTGCTTAAGTTATATTACGATTTAAGTAGAAAGCAAATAAGTATTTCCGAGGTTTTAGTACATAATTAAATAGACAAAGTTTGCTGACCTCCAGATTGAAAACGCCCCAATTCCGAGAATGTTCGTAAATAAAATATTTGTAGGTTGCGATGAGAAGAAGCTACTTACGAAGTTTCAGGCGGATGTTAATAATTCGATAAAAAGGGGTCAGACTAACTATTCATATGCATTGTATATAAAAACACATACTAAATAACATAATAAAATTCAAATTTGAATAGTTATTAGAGATGCTTATGTTATTTACGAATGCAAAAATACTATAAACTACAGATAAAACATAACATACTGGAATGTTATATAAGCAAGAAACTCAACTCTAAATTTCTGCTGTCGAAATTTTAAAGGTTAGAATTTTATCATTCCAGCCCTCAGATATCAGACCAAAACAGTTAATGCAATACCTCAAATAACAGTAACATGTTCATTATAAAAAAAAAATAGTTTGAATTGTGCCATTTATGTTTTCGTAGCAGGATATACATTCAGTTATTTCACATAATGGTGTATAATGGAAATATATATTTTAGATTGTATACGAAATACTGAATATTTTAAGAAAAAATATATATATAGAATTCTATAATACGCATTAATGTAATCACTGCATAAAACACATTTATTTTGAATAGATATTTTATCTCTATTACTCGGACTGATTACAATTGGATTGGTGGATAATTCTCGTTAAATATAAATTATTGAAAGTTCTAGAATTTTATTTCTAACAAATTTAACATCTGGCTAAAATTTCGAAACACGGTTTTTACTAAATCGGTCAACTTTTAAAATTTGTAATATAATTAATACCTTTGTATTAGTTTTTCTTCTAGTTCTTTATCTGTATCAGTTTTGTTAACTTCAGGCCTCGCCATTAGACATCTGATTTGAAATTCTAATTCTGCGTGTTCCTCTTCCAATTGATGTTGTCTCCGTCTGTGAATGAATATAGTAAACACGGAACACGTTAATTTGTTAATAATTTTCTTAAAACAATTATTCCAATAATTATTGATTAACAAGCAAAAGAAATAAATAACAATGAATATAAATTTTTTGTGAGAATAAATAAGTTTTAGTACAAACTATGTTAATATACTTTTTTTTATTTACAAATCACAAAAAAAAACCACAGCAATTCAAAATTTAAAAAATTACTCACAGGTACATTAATTCAGCTTGTTTCCGGAATAGTTCGTTCTTTTCGTTGACTAGTTCAAAGAGCTGAAGAACTAACTCCTCAAGGTACGGTGTTATGCTGACATCTAAGAAAAATTAAAAAGTGAGCAGGTATTTCTCAATTTCTTACAACATTAAAATAATAATATTAATAATAAAATAAATAAATACATAAAAGTAATGAAAAATTATTCCAAGTAAGAAATACATTACAAATACATCCGATCAAAACTGAAAAACATTAACCATATATTTTATTTTCATTTATGAATATTATCCAAATTAATACAATATTACATCTGTACCCCGCAGGTAAAGGACAACATGTTACATTTTTATATTTGTTCGGGGAGCCAATTTTCTATAACTCCGAACTAATAAGATTTGTTTCTTAGTTACTAAATTATTGAGGTAAAAACTTCTTTAGGAACGTTTTGCGTTTTTTTTTGTGGAGAGTAAATTAGATTGATCCATCAGATTTCTGAAGTGTTAACGCTCCTGTTAAGGTCACCTAGAGTCGACTAATTTAAATGTTTTTCTCATTATTTTATCATGATCATGAGTATATCATTATTTCTTGGCTTTCCATTTAGACCAAAGTTTCTTCATTTTTTCACTCATTTCCTTTTTCTACTATAAAGATAATCATGTTATTCACTGTTCCCCTGAATTTATCTCTATCTAGGTATTCATCTTCTTTTATCCCAAGTCTTAATATTTATTCCTTAATCTGTTCAGAGATATAAATATAAACATAAAAATAAAAATATAAACAGCTTTTGATATTTATGATGTGTGTTCTTTAGACCACACGACAGAAGTGAAAACAGTAACAAGGTGAGATTAATAATATGAAGTATAAAAAATAGATCATTAAAAAGAGGATGAAATGCTGAACATCGCTTTCAGTAGACAGGTCCGATTTTTAATTTCTGAAATATTTTAATTCGTAAATTCAATAAAACTTGTTACCATCTGGTTTTCGACACTAGTCGCGTTAAGATACAATTTTGTATAATAGCTCATTACAGAGAGGATAAAATGCTGAACGATTCCTCCCTTGCTTACAGTATGGAGGTCCGATTTTTAGTTTCTGAGATATTTTAATCCATATGCAAAATCACTGCAATTAGTCAACACCAGCCGACTCTGCCCGAGCGTTACACACTGGAGATCTGATAGCTCAATATAAGTAATTCATTCTCCACAAAAAAAAAGGCCAAACGCTTAAAGAAGTTTTCACTTCAATAATTATGTTTTAAATATTAACATTAACTACATTACAGAAGAAATAAAATAAAATAAAAGCTATTACCTGAATCAAACTTTTCTCTGATCTTCTGTTCCAAGGAGACTCCTTGCCTTTCCAATTCTTGTTGTTTTACTTCGATGTCGCCTAGTTCCTGTTTGATCCTGTGAATAGCCATTGGTTTCACAATCCTCCGCTGCGGCAATGGAGCAAGTGGAGCTGGCTTCTTTCTCTTCCACTGGCCGTAACTACTCTTCGGAGGGTAGTATATTCCACTCTCTATAGAAGTAAAAAAATTTGAGCCTAGGTAGTGTGCTTAAATAAACATAATTATATTAATGAAATTTATTTAATAATTTTATTAAATTAATAATTGTGGATTGATGCTTGACTGTAGTGAATAATTGAAGAGAAGATTGGTTGGAGTGTTCAGTAAAAAAAAAATCTGGTGAGCGCAACACACAACTTTCACTTACCGCTCTACTATGAATAGAAATTATTTTCTGGCAATGCTGGGCTATTATAAATTTTTTTGAAGTGCATTTTAAATGGAGCTAAAGCTTAAAGCTTACAGATAACAAGTCGTTAAGACCATTATAATTACAAAATATCTATTTATATATCGACGATAGGCAATAAAAATCTAGTCACTCCATCTGCTTTTATAAACCAGAGAATCACTAACTCCAATTTCAACATTTTTGAGTGATGTCATTTTAGTGATATTTTTAGTTCAAAAAGTTATCTATGCAGAATATGAGTAAGTTGATTCCGGAGGCGGTGATTGCAATGTTGAAATTTAGAACTGAAAATAAAGGTAAAAATTTAGGTACTTATTTCTTATGAAAAATGTTCTTAGGATAAATACTTTATTAAATATCTATAGAAAAAAGTTTTTTTTAGTCTCAAAAATTAAAAAAGTATATTTTAAATTTATCCAAATTTTTTCCTCTTCAGAGAAAAAAAACTAGAGACCATATCTTTCCTCCTAATTGTCCGATCTAAACGATTTTTTTTCGTTTTTTTAGGAAATTCCAGAAACTTTTAAAAAATGATATACAATATCCCCAAGAAAGTGTATACTTTTTGAGTTACTTGAAATTTAATTTTACAATCCCTCGTAACTTTTTTTTCCAGCTTCTTTTCGTTGAAGTATGATATATAGATAAATTTAAAGGGTGTCTAGAAAATAACTTTAGCGAAGTTTCATTGAAATCGGTACATATGTTTAGGTGCTACAGTCTATAGCAACCCAGGTTTTTCTACATTTTTACTTTTTTTCTCCTTTATTAACTTATCAAATTCTTTCAAAAGTTATATTTAGCATTTTTTCGTAACTTTGAATAATGTGAAATGATTAACTTTTTAAAATAAACCATATTAAAGGGACTTTAGAGGAAGACGTATACGAACATTGGGCATTTAAGCCCTGTAAAGTGACATCAATGGGGATAAGACCTAATTGATATTAAAGACCACTTAATTATACAATGATACACCGAGTTTAATCAAAATCGTTAAGAGCCGTTTTTGAGAAAATTGTGAAAATGAGTTTCAGTGTTGATAAAGAGTGACACTTCCAGTAAGCCGATTTTAACGAAAAAGTTCTGTCACATCCGGCCCATATACAAACCTTAAATACTTAATATCAGTTTGGTATTACTTTTCTTTTATGAGCTAGACTGTTAACACAGACACACAGACCATTTTGCGACACTTGGTTATTTGGATTCAGGGGACCTCAAAACATGTATTTTTGTTAAAAACTAAGATTCAAAAATTTTCTCGATCGTAATACTTGCCCTTACTATATATTACATATATACGTAAGTGAAAGTAAAAAATGTAAAAATAAATAAATTTTTTTTTTTGCTGTCGTTTCGGCTCTCAGTTCAGGCCTTCATCAGGGCTGGTCAGATGAAAGATTTCTGTAAGACCAATGATGATGAACAATTACTAAGTAATGAACTTTGGGCCGAAACGTTGACAAAAAATAATTTTTTTTTTTTTTTTACTGAACACCCCAAAACCAATGTTCTCTTCAATTGTTAATTAATAAGTTATACGTAACGGAACAATATTTTACCATTGAACACGCCACATTATTATCATTATATATAATACAACAATAAAAAAGTTAATATTACCTGATATCTTCCGGTGCATATTGGAAGAATCTTTGTGTTTCTTTTCCAAAGGCGGAGTAGACTCTTGATAGGAAGAACTGTCTGCAATCGAACCAGAAGGGGAAGGATAAAATGATCCGGAGTATGAGTGTGCAGAAGCCATCTCTTCCAACGAATTCTCTTTGGCGCGGGAAACGTCGACTTTAACAGGTGTACTATGTTTCATCGGCACCATTTCGTCAAACTTAATCATAGAACTATTAATAGTTGAATTGTTTCTAGATACTGATTTAAACTCATTATTATAAGCTTCTACCAAACTGTTGGCATCGTTGTTTTCATATTTGATAATTCTCTCTACTGCTTTATCACAAATCACACTATTTAATTCGACATTTGGATCCTTATTGACTTCTGCAATTATGGACGACACTTCCAAATCAGGAATTTGTTTATTTTCTTCGTTATTACTACATTTTTCCAATTCATCGTTCTTATTTGAAACTTTCAACTCTTCGATGATTGAATCTACGTTAGGGGATTCATCTATCGAATCTCTTTTCTCTTTCTCATCATTTTGAACAATACCATCACCTATTTTATCATGTTCATCAATTAATTTCTTCATTCCTTCTTCGATCTGATTGGCAATATCCCCTGTAGTTTCTAAACTCTGTGGTTCTGACTCGGCTGTTATAGATATTTCTATCTGAGGAACTACAGCCAATTCTTCAGACTTATCCAATGGTTGAACAGGTTCATTGGCAGCCTTTGGAAGTGATGGAGGCAAGGGTGCACGTCTGTTCTTTCTAGGCCTGTTACTCTGAAATAATAATAAAAAAAAATTAAATAATTAAAATATGTAAGTTTTCTTAATTTAAGTTAAGAGTTTTTGTTATATTAATAAGACAACCTTTAATGCCTTTATTTTGAAGGTGAGGATAACAGGAGTTGAAACTTTTATAAAAAGTTCTATTTTAACAGTTTCTGTGAAACATTTTAAGAAAAAGGTTCTTAAAATAAAAGTTCTAAGAGACTTCTTTGTAATATAGTTCCAGACTTTTTGTAATACAGTTCCAGGTATACGATAAAAGTTTAACTAGTATTTATAGAAGTTTTAAAAAACAGTAATCAGGCTTAGAATAGAGTTATAATTTGTCTTCAATGAATTTCAAACGATTCTAATGTGTCATTGGTTCGAGCGGCTAAGAATAAAATGATTTTTTGATTTGAAATAAAAGTTCAGTAAAAGCTTTACTTGAAATGATGCAATGGAAAAAGTTCTAGTTCTAAAATAACTGAAAACTATTGACAATAAAAATTTTGGTTTGTATATAAAAGTTTTTTTGTTGTTTTTTATTGATTGAAGCCCTGGTGGATACAATTCAGACCACTAGCGGATCCAGGATTAAATTTTGGGAGGGGGGGGGGAGCTTCAGCCCGAAAGCTTTTTTTTCATATATATAACGATAATTAATTTTTTAAAAAAAGAAAGAAACTAACTACCTATATGACATGATGTTTAAGTGATTCTTGTAGTTCAATTAAATGTAATTACATTAACAATAATACTTTAAGAGATAGTTTTAATATTTTTTTTCTATAAAACATAGTTAAATTTTACCATTTTGGAGGGAGGGGGGGGAGCTTCAGCCCGAAAGTCCCTCCCGGAAATCCACCTGTGATTCAGACAACATTTGAACTAAACTGTCTAAACCCTCTGTCCACTGTAAAGCAGTTTTTTTTTTTGTGGAAGTTACGGTTTCTATAATCGATTGCAACTGATCAAATGAAAAACATATTTTTTAAGGATTATTATCTAATGCAGTTTTTAAATGGTTAGATCGTTAAGTGAATTTTTAAAAATATTAATACTCCAAAAAATCCATTTTTTATTGGTATTTGGAATAATTTTCTTATAGCTCTATTCATAAAATACTATTTTTGTAGATGAACTCTTTGTCCCGTTTTCTTAAATATTTTTGAAGTGAAAACTTCTTTAGGCACATTTTGCACTTTTTTTGAATAGAGTGAATTAGATTAAACCGTCAGATCTCCGATGTGTAACACTTGGGTAAAGTCGAATAGAGTCGACTAATTGAAGTGTTTTTGCATATGGTTTGAAATATCTCAAAAACTAAAAATCAGATCTGCTTACTGTTAATGAGGGAAATGTTCATCATTTGATCCCCTTTGAAATGAGCTATTATTCAAAATTGTATCTTAACATGACACCGTGCTAGAGAGGTGAAAAGGGAAAAAATAGTGTCGAAAACCAAATTATAACGAATTTTATTGAAGATATGGCTTAAAATATCTCAGAAACTAAAAGTTGGACCTGTTTACTGTAAAGCGAGGGGAATTGTTCAGTATTTCATCCTCTCTGTAATGGGCTATTATTCAAAATTATATCTTAAGACGATGCTGTGTTAGAGAAGCGAAAAGGGAAAAAATTGTGTCAAAAACCAAATAACGAGTTTGGAGATATTGATTAAAATATCTCAGAAACTAAAAATCGGACTGTGGGCATGTGAATGTGAATGTGACTGCATACTGTGAGCGAGGGAAATTTTCAGCATTTCATTCTCATTAAAATGAGTTGTTATTTATAATTTTTTATAGTTCAAATTATTAATCTTGCCTTATTGATGTTTTCACTTCTATAATGTGGTATAAAGCACACACCTTAGTTTTTTTCAACTTACCTAAATTTTATTAGGTACATAAAAAAAGCTTAAAATTGTGGGCGGAAGGTTAAAGAAGTGCCCAACCTCCCTTCTTAAGGGCGAGATTGTGTATGGCTCCCCTTTCCAAGAAATTTAATTTTTCACTCCTCTTCTTAAAAGGAGTGCAAGTAGAGCTATAAAAATTGAAGTTTACAAATAATTACTGTGAACGTAATGAAGGGTCAAGTCCCCACTTTTTAAAAGTTAGTTCAGTCTCACCCACTAAGTTATCCTCACTCGATTTATAAAAATTCAAAAGTTAAAAAAATGCTTACAGCGAGGGAAGAAATGGAGGAATAGCGACTAGACGGAGTCAACGTTCCTGGTGTTGGAGGTTGAGGAGCAGGCCTCTTCTTCCTAGGGGAAGTACTGGATGCTATAGACGTAAGAGATGTAATTGATCTACCGCTAGACCGAAGCCTGCTACGACGAGGGAACGGTGTTGGCTCAGGTGAATCCTGGAAGCTTTTCCTATAACAAATTAAAATTTGATTAACTACTTTAGAAAGATAACATACATAAATTAAATAAATAGGGTGAACGCATCAGTGATGGACATGTCGGACTTTAAATATAAATAATAATCTTTCTTGTTGATTTAAAGGTTCTAGTTTTTTTCTAGATTGAAGAACAATGCCCTGTATTCAGAACTGTAAGAACAAAGTTCCCAAAAGAAAATTTTAAAATTCTTATCATTGTTGTTTCTATAGCGCTCTTGAGATCAGTGTGTTTCATACCTTACTAACAGTTTTGCAAAGAGTAAGTTGAAAATTAATGTTATCTTATCTTTAGAGTTAAATAAAAATTTAGAATTTTTCTGAGGAATGTCCATTACTGGTACCGACTCCCTGTCCATTACTAGAACAACTGAAGTCCAGGGTATTCCTCACTAGTGCAAAAATGTGTTTTTTTTTAAATGGAGATTATATCTGCATAACTGAATATTTTTTTCAAATTTAAACTCCTAGATAGAAAAAGGAGACCCTAAAGATTCTAAATGTCCAACAGTTTCGACCCTGAGAAAGTTTATTAATATTACCTATATTTTTCAATTTCTTCCTCAAATTTGACTACATAGTAACAATTAAAAAACACTATGGTGTTTGAAGTGAATTTTAATTTTAAATGGATTAAATTAATAAATAAAAAGCTACAGTTTTGTCCGTTTCAGAGGACTGTACTTTTTGAACTACTTGCTTATAACACTCTATATACGTATATATATTTAAAGGTATTTAAAAAGACTTCAGGCAATTATCGTCAAAATTGAGAAAAATATAGAATATGGTTCAAAATTGAGAAAAATGTGTTATTTGACTATTCCACACACGCTGCCAATTTAATATTAATTGATGGTAATGACAATAAAAAATTAAAAAAACACTGGCCCATCTATTCAAAAAATAATTATGGTACAGATTAGTAGCGGAAAGAAAGTAATTTTTTTCTTAACGGTTTTGATTAATGATTCTAAAACACATTTTTACCCTATATTCATTTTGAAACAAAATCAACCATGTAATGAAAAGCTATAGATTGATTTTTTTTTTTTGATTCTACATACACTGAAAAGTAAAATCACAAACTTTAAAGGGGGTATTTAAAATTTTTGTTTATCTTGGCTGATTATAATGGTTAATTATAGAAAACAATAAACCAAAATGAAATTTATATAATAATAGTAATTTTAACATAAACTGAAAAACTTACCTAGGTAATGGCACTGGTCTGATTTCTTCTTCATCATCGTCAGAATCGAATGGGTTTGTAGACGCCGGCCTAGAAATTTGAAGAGAAGTATTGATCGTACTCGAAGTTCGAGGTCGAGGTTTCATCATAACTTCTGTCACCTCTTCTTCTTCACTGTCGGAACCAAAAGGATTCGTACTAGTTTTCTGTTCAGTCTTTTCTTCTTCGCCAGATTCATCGAATGGATTCAAATCGTCGGGGTAATCTTCGGACGGTTTTTCGTCAATGATTTGCTTATCATCATTTTCAATATTAGCCACTTCATTAACAGCCTCAGTAGACATTACGACGTCGGTATTGATTGCTTCAACCACATCGACGACATCACACATGGGTGCAACATCAGAGGGTTCGTCTTCTGTCACAATAAAAGTTATTGTCGTGTTGGCCTGATTACTATCACTATCAGAATACGAAGTATTTTCTATATTTGATATATTAAGGTTGTCATTAAAGCTAGGGGCATTGTCACTTATATCTAAAGGTTGATCCTCTTCAGGATTTGAAATTAACTTATTGCTACTATCCTTTTTCTCACTTGTTTCAGGACTGGTTTGTCCAGGGTCTTCCATTCTTTGGGAAACAGAGATATTAGAACAAGCAGGAATGGTAGAATTATTTACAATTTGAACTAAAGCTTCACTATTAGTAGCATTACTATCGGCTTCGAGATTCTCTCCAGAATCTCCTCCTGGCTTATCTAAACTACTATTTACAATTTTCTTGTTATCGCTATCAATTAAGTCCACACGTGATCTAGTATCATCATTTTTAGAGAGATCTTTCTTTATACTATTTATTATCCTAGTGTTATTTACAATATGGTCATGTTTTCCGAGCTTTGCATCATCTGTATCGAACATCAGCCTCCTCATGGCTACGAGGGACGGTGGCGGTTCGGGAGGCGCACTGGGGGGCGGAACCGTGGGCAATGGAGGTGGTGGTGGTTCCATGGTCTCTTGCAAAGGGACAACGGTCACAGCTTTCTCTGGTACGGGCATCTCATCCGGGCAGGTCTCGCAAACGTAGTCTCCGGAGCAGGTCTCGTAGTAGTCGGCTGCGCTCAGTTGGGCTCCGCAGCGAGCGCACCTGAAGCAAGTTCTGTGATATAGGCGACCTTCCACCCTCAGCCTCTGAGCAATGAACACAGGCTGTTTACAGACGATGCAAGGCTCTCTCCAACGCACTGGTTTCTCCTAAAACATAATTAATTTTTTTTTTAGAAAGTAAAATAGTATTTATTAATTTTAAAAAAAATCAGTAATAATTTTATTATTTAAAACAGACCCATTTTATTACGATAAAGCTAAATCATAGCGAAAAAATGTAAATTCATTATGTGTATTAATAAAGTAATCTAAAAAACAAATAAAAATAAAAATTTAATTATTACAAAACAGTTATTCATTATTCTGGCTTTTCAACATTATTTTGTCCTCCAACATTCATTTTTGAAAAATGTTCATGATCAGAGAATAAGCTTCAAATACAAAATCTCGTATTTTTCTGCTGTAAATTTGCTAATTTCACAATAATAAAGCTATAAATGTAGTGAAATAAAGCAAATTTAAAATGTCTATTACTAAATTAATCCCCTTCAATTGAAAACCAAAATTAAATTACTGTGACAAAGTTATGCTTTATCAATTTTTCTACTACTTTATAAATTTAATAATAGTTGGTTCCCACCTTCAGGAGTGTACAAAAAGATTAAAACAAAAATTCATGAATTTTTCTGCTGTATATTCTTCTTCTTCAACGATTCCTCTACTACTGTATATCAGTGTAGAGGATCCTGTTTGTAGAACTTGATCCATTTATCTCATTCTTGCACTAGCTGACTGCGTATATTCCAGTTCATTCCTCTCTAACTGAAATTCTTTCTGACAGAACTTTAACGTCTTTCTGAACCTTCCACTCTCACGAGTTCGCGTCCCGATGCCGAGGCGTCTTTTAAATCCCCGCCCACACCCTCTAGGCCGGGAAAACCCCGTATAGCCTTAACGGCGAGGAAGGGGAGGATCCAAAAAAAAAAAAAATAAAATAAATATTTTTTTAGTAAAGATATTTATTTTGAAATGTACTTTATTAGCTTTTAAAAATAAATAAAATAAGCTAGGAGCTGAGAGAGGTTGAGCAGTAGTACACGTGTCCCCCCAGACATACTGTTGTTTCTTGAACTATTGGAGATAAATAGGAACCATTTTTTTACTATTTACAAAATGCAATTTCAATCTTATATACATTTTTGTTTTCTTTGAATTCTATTGTAGAAAAAATTTAATTTCCTTTTTAATTACATATGTTTCTAAATGAAATATAAATATAATAAGCACAAAAAAACATTCACATTTTTTTATTAAAAAATTGAGTTAGTCATGAGAAATAACTATTAATATAAACAACGAAGACAATGAAAGTTACTTGTAATTAATGGCAATAATGCGACAAGAAAACAAAAATAGTGCTCTATATTTTAATGAAGGTGCATAACAAATTATAGAGCGAGGAGACTATTAATATATTATTTAAGGGAAAACCTTTTTGATAAGCATTATAAATAATATGAAGAGGCAAAATTAACAAGAAATCAATACATAACAAATAATGGTGAGTATAAGATAAGAAATATAAATAGCACGCTTAGCGTCATTGTGAATGGATAGATATTTATGCTTATTGGGTTGGCTGTTATATTTTGGCACCCTTACAAAATTTTTAGAAAACAAAAATTGTAAAATTAAATGTATTAAAACTTTTTAAAAGTACAAAACAACAATTGATAATCAGATTATTTAGAAAACATTAGTAATATATTTTTAAATACTTATGCCTTTATTCATAAAATAAATAGAAAGAAAAGAGTTATTTACTAAGAGCTTTTGATAAACAATATAAAAATCTTATACAAAGCATTACATTACAGTTATCTTTGAAAAAGTATGTCAATAATTTAAAACAGAAAAATCTAAGAATTTGGAAGAAGTTCCTGTTGTTTTTAATAAAAACAATCATGAAATTAAATATATTAAACCCCTTTAAATCTATAAAGCAATAACTGGAAATATCGTTTTAAATGATGGATAACTGGATTATTTATAAAAAGAGTAATAATTATTGATATTTAATCAATATACCAGTATTTTTTTAAAATATCAAATATATTCACACAGATCTTATTACATTATTAATACAACTTCTCTTTAGTACTAAGTTTTATTTTCCGTATGTATTATATGATGTTTTTGGCATTTATTGCCATTTTAAAGTATTATAACAAACAAAAAGTGAAATTAGTCTGTTTTTAAGAATGATGATGAAATTGATGGATAAAAAAATGAACTAAAACAACTGTTATTTTTGTTTGTTCGAATATTTGAAAATGGAAATAAATTCCGAAACGTCAGAAACTACATAGAGAAAATAAAACTTAGTAGTAAAGAGATCTGTGAGGGTATATACGTGATATTTTAAAAAATTAATCATTTATTGATTAAATCTTAATAATTATATCAAATTCCCACAAAAAAATGAACAAGTTAAATATTGTTAATCATGAAAGTGATATTATTATTAAAAGCTTTAGGCAAACAATATAAAAATCTAATAGAACAAAAATTATTAACAAAGAAATAATTACAGTAATCTCTGACAATCAAAGGCAATAATTTAAAACAAAAAAATCTAAGAATGTGAAAGTAATATAACACAAAGGTGCTTGTTAAAAAAAAATAATTAATGAGATAAATCCCTTTATCTTAATATTTTCGAATGTAATATCTAATTAAGTAAACAATGGTACTTACATTACATCAGATGAAACCATATCTGACATTTTAAAAACTAAGCTTAAAGAAGAAAACATTGTTAAAACAACACAAAGAGACTTGTTAAGTAGTGCAAAAGATAGACTTTGAAGTGAACTGAGGTAAGAAAATGAAATAGCAATGTAGAACAAGAGCTCATTGCTATGCTGGTGTTGTCCTGGTTAGCAATTCACACGAATGAGACAAATTCAAAGCAGGATGCACTATTTGAAGGACAGGAAATGATTTCCTCCGATGGCACAATACACCAATAATAATCTAACTAGTTACACAAAAAGGCCACGCAGGCAATATCGCACAAAAATAAATATAAATTAAAAACACATAAACACTTACAAAAATAATAATGTAGCCTTATATCTATATAACAATATAATTGAACATGCAAACACTTATAAACATCCCCCCGAATACACGAGAGAGAGAGACTAAAAGGAATTCAGGAAAAAAAGCTAAGCTATTTTTAGTAATAAAGCATTATTATAAATAAGGCGTCTATAAATAGGCTTCCACTACAACTGCCAATGCACCAGAATGCATGCCCGGCGTATAGGTTAGAAAAGTAAATAAATAAATAAAGTTTAATTTATTTAGGAATTAAAAAAAACAAAAACATATTTATAAACAGAGCAAAAGAAAAAATCTTTCAAATTACCTTCTAGCAGAATATTTCTGGTTTGTACTGCCCCATAAGGTCGAGAGAATCTTCCTATTAGACAGAACAACGTGGGGTTAGTGCACAAAAGCAATTGAACATAAAAAAAAGCAAACTGGGCTTTTGGTAGTAAGAAAGTCTGGGTGTAAAGTTTCACCTTGTTGATGATAATCACCCGACCGGAAATAAAATAATAAGTCGATTTAAAAAAATAAAATTACATTAAAAAATAAATAAAAATACAACAAGGTAAAACAATGTTAATATTAAATTAAATTTTGTTTTAAATTAAAATAATAATAAAAATAAATACAACACTTTTTTTTTCTAAAGAAAAAAAAATTACTAAATAAATTGCAATAATTACTTCAAAAATATTGCATCAAACAAAACAAAAAATATTTAAGCAACTGAAGACACTTTTGATACTAATAATGTAACAGAGTTTAAGGCAGTCTTTATCACTCAGTTGATAAGATTATAAAAGTGCCTTGAACAAAACCACCACTACCTGTTACCCTAACCAAAATATATACAACACAATACAACATACAACACTACTCCAAAACAAAACAAAATAATACATCAATAATATGCCATGCAAAGTTAGAAAAAATGTATTATAAATAAAAAAAAAACCAACACCTCAATAATAAAGGAAAAAAAATCAATATATTTCAAGTGTAAGTTAGGAACAAATAATATGTGGGGCTTCCCATTGTGCAAAACCAACCCCACATTGTCAAGATATTAAGCTTATAACCAACGTGACATAATTTCTATTTCTACTTTTTATCCCCCCAAAATAAAAAGGATTTGTCCTTGACACACACATAACATTAAAAAAAATACAATTTATGGATTGTGCATTTACATGATACAACAGAAAAGAAATACATATTCTTATCAGAGAGGAATCCATAATTGCAACATTAGTCACTGTTTTCTTCTTATCAAACATGACCATTGGACTATTTATATAATTAATTCACAACTGAAGAATTACAATTTAAAAATTAAACAAGTTTAAAAAAAAACAACACAATAAATAGAAAAAAAAATAATACTGATTTGATATGAGATTGAAAACAAAAATATAAACAATATGTAATTCTTTTAATACAAAAGCATTTTATAAACACCTATTAAATACAAACAAAGAATACTTAACTACTTAGAAACAACAAAAACATGCAAAAGTGTCCACACATTTACCTATTTATATTCTACTGATAAATAAATATTATAATAAATAGCAATTAATAAATCATGCAACAACATTAGATAATTAACATAAAACATGCAAATACTATTATTTATATATATAAAAAAAATTATATACCATTTTGGGAGAAGGCTGTACATTACCCTGGACGAGGGACACCAGAGATCCGTCAGGGGATTCGGGAGATGGTTTCTTAACGGGAGATGAATCTGGAATAAAAGAATAAAAAAAGGTTGTAGCCTTATCACAAATGCATCGCTATATATAGTAGGCTATGATTGGCAAGGCCTTTTCATGTTATGCACATAAGTAATATTCCATTAATGAGTAATTATTAACAAACTATGAGATTTAACAAAAAAAAAAAAAATCGGAGAATAATATATATATTTATAATTTGCCATTGAAGTTATAAAAAAAGTATTAAAATTAAATCACAGTAAATATTGTATTTAAAAAAAATATATCATTAATATCTCCATCAATAAATTTTTAAAGATTGAATGTAATAATGATAGGAAAAACTTGTAAGTTGAACCCAATATATCAATAATCCAAAAGCTAATTTTAATCAGAAAAAAACAAATTTCTATACATCAAATAAAATGCTCATCATATTTTAAAAACTAATATGTATCTTTGTACACCTTTAATTGCGGCAATAAGAAAAATAATTATGTACTAATTGTTATGTATACTACATATATATATTAGTAAAAAAAACATATTTATTGTTTCTATATCAGTAGATATATTATTAATAAATTAATTAATTCAGGTCGTAACAGATCAAATATGTCAACAACACCCAGGTATAGGAAATGTTTTTTTTTCTTCTAATTTTTATTACTAATATATATTTTCAAATCCAGAAAAAATAAAAATGCTCTAAAAAGAGTAAAAATATAACAAGTATATAAAGAAGTTGAAGTTTGAATGACTATAACTAAACGAATACTTGGAATAGATAGGTTTAATTATTACTGTATTTGAATAAGTGCATATCACAATTAATTAAGGCAATTTTAACTCTGTATGAATTTTATTATTGTAAGTCTTTTTATCATCTTATATATTTTGTTTGTTTTTTTCTTAGAATTTTTATCAATATGTACATTCTTAAAATACATAGTAAATTTATTTGATGAATTGACAACTGATAAGATTAGAGACATTAAAAATATAACACAGTGCATCAACGAATAACTCATTGTTTCCTCAAAGGTTTTCCTTATCCTCTCAAGTTAAAAATTAAAATATATAATAAAAGGAAAATACGTAAAATTCATAATTTGATATTATTATTTCTATATAAATCACTGATGAATACATAATTCTAACTTCATTAGAATCAAAGAAAAGCAAATAATTCTAGACAAATATACCTTTGCATTTGGCGTATACTTCATAAAAATAACAAATTATAATAAAACCAAAAATTTCACTACAAATAACTGATAGCTAATATTGGAAATTAATAATTTAAAATAAATTGAAAATTTTGAATACATGATTAAAACTGAAGGTCACAATTCAAAATATTAACTATTCTCACATGAAATGAATGATAAATACCTCAAGTTGGTTTCATTTAACAACTGAAGATTATTGAAGTAGAAAATCACTGATTAATACAGTAGTAAAAGGCATAAATATATTATTTCATATTGAGGATCTCAATATATTTTCGAATATTCGGACAAAATATGGAAGACAATTTTATACTCACTATTTGATGCGAATGCTTGGTAAAATTGTGAGAGGTAAGTCAGAATAGAGAGCCTGTCAGGCACAGCGTATTCTGCCATATCTTCGGCATCCAAAAGGGCTGGAATTCCCAAATGCCTCTCAGCGATTCGAAAAGCCAAGTCATTGTTTCCATAAACATCAGATTTGTCCAAACGGGAGAAGTCTCTGTAAAAAAAAATAAATAAATAAACATATAATATTATGATGAAATTAATACAATGAACTTATTTAAATTTATATTTGAAATAATTACTTTTGATCACAGGTTAAAAAAATAAATAATATTAATTATCTACAATGACAGTCTTTCAATAAATATTGTTTGTACTCTATAAGTCTTGAATATTTGCTAAAACTATAAACAAGTAATACTATTTACTTAAAATACAAAAAATAAAAAATATATATATATCAACACAGCAGGATGTGTTTACTAAACATAACCTGCACAAAACTTCATCACAGTTTAGTGCTGCCATCTGTAGCTTTTCCTAGACACTACGATAGATTTAATGCTTTGGGGTTTTCAACTTGTTTGAAATATTTTTTTTTTTATTCTGCTACTTTTCAACGAAGTGTAATTTTTTATAATTATTAATTAATGATTTTTTTATGTATAGGTTTTATATTAAAACAGTCCAAATATCTGTTTAAACATCAGTTAGTAAGAATTAGCAGAAACATCAGAATTAGAATAACTTTATAACCAATCATTTAATTGATCATAAACCTGATGTAAATTTTCGAATAATTAGAAATAAAATTGAATAATTCTTAATAAAATTCAATTATATTTTTTAAAAAGCTTTAAAAAACATAATTCAGCTAAAGAGTGAGTAGACGCGGATTGTTATGAGAGAAATATATGAATTAGCATTAGAATAACTTTTTTCCAACAATTTAATTTATTCTAAACTTAATGTGAATTCTTGGATAATTAGAAATCAAACTTAATAACTTTTAGCATACTTTAATTAAATTTTTAAAATATTTTCTTTGGGAATTAATTCTGCTAATGGCACACTTGAGCAGATCCAAAGTGTATAAAATGAAAAAAATTGAACATTGTAATTATTTTAACACCTAATTTTTAACGATAAAAATTAAATAAAATTTATCGTATACTTATTTTGGGAAATTGATAAAAATATGATAAAAGTAAATATGATGTAACATCCATATATCTTGTTTGTATATGTAACACTGAAATAAGTTTTAAGGATATCTTTCTCTATTAGGTTCAATCTAGTTAAAAATAAAAATTTAAGAAAAAATAATCAATAAATTTCATAAAATACAACAACAATTAATATACCGGTTAAAAATAATTTGTTATATTGTGAATATGTTTATACATAAAAGATTTTACTGTTTTAAATGATAAAAGTTTTGAAGGCACTTTGGGTAATATTCCATATTAAAAACTTGAATATAAAGAGTACAAATGAATATAATATAGAAGTGAAATTTGAATTTTTTTTTTTTATTCTCTTCGAATTATTTTAAATGTTGTAATTACGCTATAATTTTTAGTTATCTACAATGACTGAATAATAACTGATAGCTAATATTGGAAATTAATAATTTAAAATAAATTGAAAATTTTGAATACATGATTAAAACTGAAGGTCACAATTCAAAATATTAACTATTCTCACATGAAATGAATGATAAATACCTCAAGTTGGTTTCATTTAACAACTGAAGATTATTGAAGTAGAAAATCACTGATTAATACAGTAGTAAAAGGCATAAATATATTATTTCATATTGAGGATCTCAATATATTTTCGAATATTCGGACAAAATATGGAAGACAATTTTAATTATATTTTATCTAACTTGAGTAGATGCAGATTGTTATGAAATAAATAAGTGAACATTGTAACTAATGTTTCAACACCTATTTTTAACATTGAAAATTTATTGTATAGTTATTTAGAAAATTGAGAAAAAGGTAATAAAAGTTAATATGATATAACATCAATATATCTCGTGGATGTATGTAACACTACATTTAGTTTTAATGAGATCTTTCTTTATCAAGTTCAATCTAGTTTAAATTAAAAATTTAATAACAAAAAGAAATAAATTAATTTCATTAGATAATATTTCAGTAATCGAAACAGTAGCTATATTATCGTAATACTTGAAGCTTCAAATGATGAAAGAATTGTAGGCATTATGGATAATATTCCATATTATGAACTTGAATATAATAATGAGTACAACAGGATTAGAGGAGTGAAATTTGAAAAGTAATTTTTTTTTTTATTCTCTTCGGACCCCTATTGTAAGTGGTGTAATTACGCTATAAAAAGCACTTTGTGAGAGAAGCGGTATGTGGAGCGAGGGGGATAACAGTAAGTTGTTGTTGTCGTGTACTGTGGGAAGGCCCATCACAAAAGAAGCCTCATTACAGGGGGGTCATGGGTTGACGCGGTACGCTCTGCCATCCTCCGGAGCACCTCCTTTCAATCCGACAGCCACTGACCGTTCCAGATTTAAGAAAACAAGAATATTCTAACGTTAGGCATGAGAGAAATATCATTAATGATTTTAGAGAATATCTTATTTTCGAAAGAAAAACTATAAGTAATCCAAGTGAGTTCAAGTTTATTTTCAAAATTAAGAAGAAAAAGAATCATAAATATACCAAGCAACATTAAATAATATTCTGAAACAATAAAGTAAACAAAACAAAAAAAAAAAAAAACATTTTTTTCCAGAAATTTCAGTCAATATTTTTATTGAGTTAGTAAATTTTTTAAAAATAATTAATTAATCATATATTATAAATTGAGAATGCTATATTGTCAAGTTGATAATGTATCATAAATACTTAGAAACTAATAAAATAAATAACGAATTTTATTAAATTAGATTATAGAACTATCATTGTTAACATTCAGCTTTTGGCAATTTTGAGAAAAACTCTCACAAACATACACCTTAAAACTTTTATATTTAAATTTTATACCTCAAAAATGAAATATGTATATTTTATTATTTCCTTTGTTTAGTTATTATGATGTTTATTTTCAAAGTCAAATCATGATAAAAAGATAAAAGCAAACAATAAATTTAATTAAATAAATAAACTTTTTTGGGATCATAATATGAAAAAGATAATGAAATTTGAGCAAATATTTTCAGATCTATACATTCTGTAATTGTATATAGTTGAACTTTACAGAGAAAAGCCATAAGTGATCTAAACGGAGAACTTATTTGTAATAAATAAAATCGATGCTTTTTGCTCAATGCATTTCTCTATAAACAAAAATATTATTTATTTAAGTATATTTATTATATCACATTGTTTGCTTGTATATTTTATACTTTTTTTTATTATGATTGTTATTATTATTTTTACCAAATGAAGGTTTAAAAATAGAAACTGGTTGCTGATTAAATAGAATTTTCCAAGAAGACATTTTTTTAAATTATTTTATTCTGTACTTAAAACTTTTGATATTGTCACTGTAATTTTAAATATTTTTAATAATATTTTATTTTAATCTAGAAAAAAAAAATAATTAAGTTTTGGGATAAAAGAATGGCTTCATAAAGGAAAGAACTAATTTAATAGAAGTGTTTTCACAAATAATTATATAATATTAGAGCGCTTGTTAATCACCGAATTTTATTTTTTAATATCTTATTAGTATAATAATGATGTCTTTATGGAACCTATTAAGGCATAAAAAACCCCTAAATAATTCCACTCCTGAATTTAGAATTATTTTAGTATTTAGTAATCGATTTTAAAATGGTTTTTTTTAAAAATTAATGTTAACTTTTCAGTTTTTATTTGTTTAAATAAAGTTATATTATATGTAATGTGACACACGAGATATTATTCATTGAAAATAAATATGTGAAATAATTCGACAATTCCATAAAACGGACAATTTAAACAATGGTGAAAATTTTAATTAATATTATTTAAAAACATTTTAATGCAATGCCTTATAAATCAGTGTTTTTATTTTGTAAGGGGCGTTTAAAAATTTCACAAACTATGGGAAATAATCCTATCCAACATAACTAAGAGTGATATTAGGTCTAAGTTAAACTTTTTGTTTTCTTTCTCTTGTTACATACAGTAGATAGAAAATATCAAAGATCCATGGTGCATGAACTTTCCCTCCCTCCCAAGAAATTGTACTGCTTTCCTATCTTCTTCTTATTATATATTATTTCTCAAATATATATATCCCTTTTTATGGCTCTCAGGAGTGATGGATTTTGACGAATTAGGTATCAATAGAAAGGGAATATCATGTAGAGTGCTGGAACCATAATTTTGATTAATAATTTTATACCTGGACTTAAATAAAAATGAATGTAAAAGTGGGAGGTTTCAGAATTCATAACTTGGGAATAACTCAAAAAGGACGCAATTTTTAGCCCAATATATATATATATATATATATATATATTTTTTTTTTTTTTTTTGTTTTTTTGTTCTTCCCTACCTCGCCTTTTAGGCTATACGGGATTTTCCCGGGCTGGGGGGTGAGGGCGGGGAATTTAAAATCCCCTCCGGCACCGGGACGCGGACTCGTACTTTTTATATCATCTCAAATCTCTGTTATCCGGTTGCCAGGCAGCTAGCGGTGCTGTGCACACGCTTTAGCCTGTTATATATATATATATATATATATATATATATATATATATATATATATATATATATATATATATATATACACATATATATATATATATTGGGCTATTTTGGGGGCGGGGTGGCCGAATAGGCTAAAGCGTGTGCACAGCACCCATATATATATATATATATATATATACGAGTATTTGAAAGCTTACTAAATTACTAAATTCCCTACAAAACGTAAAAAAAAAATATAGAAATCGATAACATTTTTGTCATATAAAATACTTTTAAAGCAAATTTTCTTTTTTTACACTTATTTTCGGATTATATTACTAATGAGAGCTCAATTTCATCAAATTTATATTTGGCATATTTTTGTAGTATGAATAAAATGTTGAAATAAAAGAATTGGTACAAAAAAAAAAAATCATAACCCTATCGAATTGTGCCCCTTTAAAAATTTAAACTCCCATAAAAATGTGGTCCCCTTAAAAATATTGCGCAATTTGCGCCATCAAACTCCCCCTTGGACACCCTTGAACAACCATTTGTTTTTTCATAATTTATAAAATGTCTAAACGCATCTTTAAATAATATTTTTCACCAGTGCCAAAAATTAAGTCTTTAGCGAACCTTGGGTATTTCGATATTAACTAACTATGTAAATTAATTCACAATATTTCTCAACTTCTTCTTGGGTGCAAACTATTTATTTATTACCAGCGAATTTTACACCAATTTTTAAAATTTTCTCAACTAAAAAAAAAAAATCTAGCCATTTTCAAGTCAAAAATTTCTTTTTTACTTAAAATAGGTCCGCATATAATATTGGGAAACATCATTGAATATGTTTTAAAATAAATAGTCTTCCCCTACTCCTTTAAGAATAACCAGTCACTGAATAGAAATGGGACTGATGACATGTCGGTGACACATGATAAGGTAATTGTAACTTAATTGAATCATTTAATAAGAAATAATCGAGTAATAATAATGTTATATAATAATTAAAGGTGGACATGACAAAAATAAAATATTATTATGAGTAGATGCATGCAATTCGCATAAGTGAAAAGGACAGGTACATGATGGGTATTTAGAAAAATAAAAAAAACTCTACATGTTGAAATATGTAATGTTTTAAATATGATTGTAAATTGAAAAAAAAAAAAATATATTTAGACTTGAAAATGGCTCAACGAGCCGAAACGTCGTAATTAGATGTGATGTCTTTAAGTTGACAAACTTTTAAAAATTGGCTGATAATAAATAAACTTGAAGATATGTAAATTAATTTCGAATTGGTTTTAAAGTATTTTTCAATATATATATTTTTTTTAAATACTGATATATAGGTAATAATTTCTAAGCCTTCTATATATAATAATACGCTTCGCTAGGACTCCAAACTAAGAAGGAGAACAACTCATTCGAGGGTACTTGGACGCGGAGGTTATAACGGCCAGCTCCAGAACGCCCGTTACTTCGCTTCGTCATAAGAAACGAAATCGGGATAATCTTTATTCGACATGGCCCAAATTACGACGCTATTCAATTACAGCGAGAAAAAAAATAAAAAATAAAATGGAGATCAAGATCAATGAGAAATAATAACATATTTAATACTAACTACTAATATCAAAACTAATTGGCCTTCGGGATATATTTCCCATAACACATTGGTCAATGAACAAATGACAAAATAATATAGAAATAAGTCACTAATATTTAGATAAATTATTTTATATTTATAACGATGATTATACTAACATGAATAATATATTGTTAGTATCAATATTGGTATGTTATTTTTTTTTAAATATTATTTTGATCTACCATTTATATGATTTGTTAGTCTATACTCCCCTCCCCCCAGCCACCAACCAGTCGATCTAAAACAGATCGAAACCAATTACAGAGGAATTAGAAGACAGAATGCTCGAAATAACACCAATTCCAAATTGATTCGAAATAGAGTTTATTTCCCATCACGTTCTGAATCCAATTAAAATTTCCATAAAGTAAAAAGTTTTTTGTTAACATATATTTCTTTCTTTTTTTTTTTTTAATATAATTTTTAAAAATTCAATTCTATTCGATATTTCCGTAAACTAGTTTATAAATAAATTAATAATAAGGTTTAAAAAATTAAATTGTGTTCCTTAAATAAAGCTCACATAATATGATGTAGTGTTGAGCCAATATGACTTAAGAACTAAATATTACGGTCAGCCAATTTTTCAATTTCTTAGTTCAGATAACATGATTAATAAATAAAACAATATATACTAGGATGGTATATATTTTTGTTGTGGAAGAAGAATATTTGAAAAATAATAATATTAAGAAGATATAAAATACTGATTGGCGTACCTACACAATTTGGGGCTCCGGAAAAAAATAAAATAATAAAAGTGTAAATTTTACGTTTGCTAAAACAAATATTTACTTAGTTTTTGGCAGCAAAGACCCACTGAATAAAAAGAAAAGAAAACGTTCTCGTTTGATCAAATTAAGATATATATATATTTTTTTTTTTTCTTGGTTATAAAGTTATCTATTAACAGAGCCCCACATAATAAAAACTTACGTTTAAGGCCAGTTATACAATTGGAGTTCAAGTAAAGTTCAAGCTATAGTCAACCATGAAAATCATGAATGATTGACTGTAGTTCATTCATATTGAACTCCAATTGTACAACTGGATCTTATTATTATTACTTTGTTGTTTAATTTATTTTTATTGAAATGAAAACTTCTTTAGGCGCGTTTTGCACTTTTTTTGTGAAGGGTGAATTAGATTGAGCCGTCAGATTTCTGATGTGTTAACGCTCGGCTAAAGTCGGCTGGAGCAACACTAATTACAGTGTTTTTGCGTAAGGATTAAGATATCTCAAAAACTGAAAATTGGAACTGCATATCGTTAGCGAAGGAAATGTCCAGAATTTCGTCCCCTTTATAATGAGCTATTATTTATTATTTATATTCCATATTAATTCAATTTGCGCCAAGAATCACCTAAAGCAGTCCCCAACCAGAGACCCGAACGGGGGACTAGTATACCACCAGATAATGAGTGGTTTACCTTAGGGAGATCCATGACTATTTGTGGTTTATGGTGAACTAAAGATATGCGAGTAGGGCGTTCGATACTACGTCACAACCTCCACTAAGTCTGGAGAACCCCTGCGAATGAATGCGAAACATGGCCGCTTACATTAAGGGATGAACAACGTTTTAAGATTTTTGAAAATAAAGTATTGCTTAGAATATTAGAACCGAAGAAGAATGAATTAACCGGTGAGTTTAGAGGGTTACACAACGCCGAATTGCGTGAACGGTATCCGGTTAATATAATTGAGGTAATTTCATCAAATTGGCTTGTAAAATTGTTGGGCTCAGTAACGAAAGAATTCCTAAAATATTAATATTTGGTGTACCGAATGGTAAACGTCCGAGAGGTAGACCGAAGCGAAGGTGGGAAGATTGCCTTAAAGCCGTTCTGAAGGGACTGGGTTTGGACGGCGAACGGTGGAGGGGGGGTGTGTAATAAGCGATTCTGCATCGAACCTTCGTGTTCGCTAAGCCTTTTATTATTTATATTACTATTCTGGCCTTGTAGATGTTTTTACTTCTATCGTGAGGTTTAAAACACATTAATTTAGTTTTTTTATTGTGCATAGAGTGTGAAAGAGATACTCCATCCCTATTACTAATGTTCTCAAATATGACAGAATGTAAATTACTCAATAAAAAAAATGCATCTGTGGAAAAAAAAATTTATGGTTTCATGGTTTTTATTTTATTATAATCTAAATCATATTCTCCGGTGGAATCTTCCCACATACATTAGAATAATACAATGACGTAAATGCAAATCATACAATTTTATCAAAGAGGTAAAATAATTAGAATTATTATTGTACCAGTGTACAACAATTTCTTTATCCATTCAAATTTTGCTTGTATTATATTATGCAGTTGGTTCGATTAAGACCTCTTTCTGACATTTATGACTTGTCAAAATATTTTTTTAAGGTTACGTTGTTAAACCGCCCTCACTACCTATGCTGATGACACGTGTGTGTTGTCTGTCGATAATGAACAAACTATTGTAATCGCAAACCCTACAGTCACACATTTCAGCCATTGAAGAATGGTTTGCAAATTGGAGAATTAAAATTAATCCAAAAAAATCTCAACAAATTACTTTTACCCTTCGCCGTTAAACCTACATCCTGTCCCACCGTATTCTTTAACAATATTCCACTGATCTCTGTCGAACAGATCCGTTACCTAGGACTCCTTGACAAACGCCTTACCTTTAATCTTCATACTAGACTTAAAAGACAAGAAACTGCCAACAGATTCCGACTACTACAACACTTACTTGACAAACGCTCTAAACTTCCAATATTCTAGAAAAACTCATTTACACTACCATCAGGCCCGATTTGGGTATATGGTATTAAGTTTTGGGGCTCTACAAAAACATCAAATTCTTCCCGTATCCAATCCTTACAATCCAAAATCCTCCGTAAAATCCTAAATGCTCCTTATTCTGTAACAAATAAAATTATCCATAAAGACTTCAACATTCCTCTTGTGGAAGACTTGGCCCGAACTAGATATACCCCTTTTCATTCCAAACTCTTTGGTCACCCCAATCCTCTAGTTTGTAACCTTACACCCAACACAATTACTGACAACCCTCCGAGGCGTCTGAAAAGAATATGGCCAAGGGACCTCCTAAATTAATTTATCTTTGAAGTGTTACCAATGGGTAGGTTCTTCACAAGTCATGTTATTATTCCTATAGCAGATTTACTAGTTGCATATATGTTTACAGTTGTAAATTTCAATAAAAAAAAAAAAAAAAACGTTAGTTGTTAATGAAACAACAACGATCCACCGACAGAATGTTATGTCATATAAGCACTGTTTTTACACCAGAGACAGGGACGACAACATAGGCAGATGTGTACAACTTGAATCTGCTTTATAAACTTTTTATTTTATACAACATTTCCCTGTCAAAACTTTTAAACCGACAAACACCTGCTACCTAGATGCACAAAGAGGAAAAAAAAAAACTTTATAATCCTCATAAAAAAAGTTGACTGAAGGTAACTGGGCTGTATGCGGGAGATGGGCTGTGGTAGCTTAAAACTTTTTGTGACAGTTTCCGAGCCTCATTATAGGAGAGGCGGGGCCGAAGAATCGCGAAGTTTTTCTACTGAAGGTTTCGGGACCTTATTAACGGTTCAAGGTACTTCTTATAAACCACCTCCCTCCTTGTGAACACCGCACAGGAGATGCGGATAAAAAACATCTAGTCCCTGCCTGATACAAATTTCGCTAAAATGAACTCCATCAAAACTAAAATTCTTAAGATATTTCCTTTAATAATAGGATTTACTTCATTTTTTATTTAGATGGAATTTCATAAATGGCCGAGTATAGACGTACGCGGATATGAACTTTTTTTTATATACATCGCTACTATCGACTTTTGATGAACTCAGCCATTTTTGGAATAACAGTTACAGTGTGATAGTGTGATTTTGTGCCCTCCCATTGAAGTGATACATGTGAAGTAGTAAAGGTTTTTTATTATTACAAATTCGTACCAATCTAAAAATACACCATTCAATTTTTTCTCCTAGGTGTAGTACGCAATGCCCCACTCGTACCGAAAATCTTGCAAGCCCATTTTATTTGCCATTATCATCTCAATTATATGTAGACAACACTATTTAGAATTTCTGTTTTTCTTTTTGGCTTCAAGACTTGTAAAAGCAGGTCCTATTTTGTCAATAAAATATTTTAATTATCATTGTGAGGTGATATCATTACACTGGATATTTATTGAATATTTCTATAAAGGTGAATCACTGAATGTAACTAAATATCGAATGTAACTTTTATAGAACTTAAACTAGAAAGACTAATAGTAAAAAACTGAGGTGACAATAGTTTCGTAACAATTAAATGAGAATAAGAGGCGACTTTTATTATATGACTGATTTTATGTCATTTAAAAACTTTATCAAATCATGGGCGTTATCTTTTTATTCATCGACCGAAGAAAGTTAGCTCCACCATCCTTAGTTTGCGATCCTAAACTAATTCTTCTTCGCTTCTCGAATCTTTTGCACTTGAAGGCAATGTGTCTTGGATCCTCCAAGCATTGGCATGTTCGGCAGTGACCGCTCTTAGCTAGACCCATTAGATGAAGATATTTATTAGTTCTACCGTGGTTTATCCTGAACCTGGTCAGCTTTACTAAGCTGGAGCGGTCGAGATGAGATTTAAGATTCTCAAACCATGAAACCAGTGCTATCTTCTGTTGAACTGCATGATGGTCCTTACCCTTCGAGGCACAACTATTTAGAATTGTGTAGCCATCTAATTGTCACGCTTCTTCCGCCCATAAGCCATAAGTCTGAGTATGTATATATATATATATATATATATATATATATATATATATATATATATATAAAGCTTCCGGGCTGAAGCACCCAAAATTAAGATCCTAGATCCTCTACTGATGATATAATATATTGACCATTCCTAGAACCCAAAAGATCTCTGATAACCTAGGTCTTGTTATCTAGAAGCAAGGATAGGGCACAACAGAACCCTTATCAGGAATAATGAAAGATTCTGACAAAGACTCTTTCCTTGAAGTACCCATTTTCAATATTAATGGATAATAAGTTAAATAAATTGTTAATAACTTCTCATTTTCTCATCTGGACAAATCATTCTTACAATTACATTTTTGTATTCACTTTCTTGTAAAGAGACCTAGATTCATAATCTTGTTGTAATGCGTCAAATTATAGATAAATTGTTTTTATATTTTGTTATTACAGAATTCGATCGTAATCATCACCGCTTAAATAATTTCATTATATATTGAAATACGTTGAGTGACACTGAATTAAATATGTCACAAAATATTTATTTTATTTTCAATGTTCTTATATTTATTTCTTTCATATTTTTTAATAGTAAAATCATATATAAGTCAAGTATAGTTTCGTGTTATCTTTTCGAAATTTACGTTACTCGCATCATCAACTATACTCAGTTTATCAATACCGCATGATACAAAATAATTCTAGTTCGTAATAAAAATAAAATAAATATAAATCTATTATATAAACCAATCCAGACTAAGAATAGAACCGGAGAGCTGAAGAGGACAATATAAATTGACACAGATGCAGGGAGCTAAAGAGGTCAAACCTCAACATCCTTGCCAAGGACAGCCGGTGGCAGGACCGCTTGGTCTCTTCTCTTTTGATCCTGCGGTCACCAAGGACTTTGTCCGATCCTTCCTATCCACTCTCCCTCCAATATCCTTTCCTCCAAGGACAAAAGGTCCTGGGATTCTTTCACGAAGTCCGGTCGGATGCGCCCGTTTCCTCAGCTGTTCCAATTCTAAAAGTTCTTTTTTTTTTTTTCTTCATTCAACTAAATACATTTCCTTGGCAATAAAAACTTTTTTAACATCTTACATGAGAATCTTTAATATTTTTTATAATTAAAAAAAAATTGCGATTTTCACAGCTCTTCAAACGAAGAAAAATTATAGTCTCTGTTGGACATATATAATCTCAAAGGTCTAGTTTTTTCATTAAACACTTTGAAAAAAATTAAAAAAAAAAGGTTATAAAGATATAATCTCTATTTAAAAAAAAACAACACCTTTTTGCACTAGTGATGGACTAGCCCAAAATTCAATTGTTCTAGTAACGCACAGGAGGTCGGTACTAGTAATAGACATACCTCAGAAAAAATCTAAAATCTTTATTTAACTATAAAGATAAGATATCAGAAATGTTCTCAACTTATTCTTAGCAAAACTGTTAGTAGGAAGGTATGAAACATACTGATCTCAAGAGCACTACAGAAACAGAGATTTTAAAATTTTCTTTTGGGAACTTTATACATACAGTTGTCTATAGAGATTCTTGCTTACTATTTACATTTAAAGTCTAAAGTGTCCATCACTGGGCCCCCTGTCCGTAACTGGTGCGCGTTCACCCAATATATTTTACGTTCCTTCGAAGTTGTTAGAAACGTCGTGTGAGAAGAAAAGCCACACATAGAAATAGTAAAACATCTTTATTCTGGGACTAGGTCCCTTTAGAATAGAAATATTGTACAAAGCAATTGACAATAAATCTGTCCAGATGACCTATTATAATAAAGAGTAACTACAATCTAAGTAATAAAATGAGTATTTACATAGTTATGGAGGGTATATTAAGGAAAGCGGATGGATACAACGGTTACAATATTATAATATTGCGACAAAAAACAAAAACATACTAATAACTAAATAGAATTGGAAAGAATCGCTAAATGAGTTTTATAGGTAACCAATTTTAGTGATGAAATATTTAAAAAAAAAAAAGTAAATAAATGATTTATATATGTTCCTTAAGAGTTTCAAGTAAAAACACATGTAGATATTGTGAAAAACTAGACAAGCATTGTGATCTACCTATGACTCGATAGATTACGATCAGAATATATATATACATATACGCACACATAGAGAGCATGTGGTTGTTGTATCGGATTCCCTAAGTACTCTGAAAGCTATGAATAACATGTATCCAGACCATCCAGGGATACACTGCATTCTAAGTCTTATAAAAATGCTTCATGGAGTTGGAACAACGGCACATTTTATCTGGTCGCCTGGCCATATAGGAATTAAAGGAAATGAAATGGCTGATAGAGCATCAAAGGAAGCTCTTACTCTTCCAGGCCGCGGTAAAGTTTTTTTGACACCATCTGAACTAGCATGACCTCTGAGAGAAACCATATTCCAAGAATGGCAAAGACGGTGGGACAACAGCGCCCCTAGCAAATTAAAAACAATAAAGAAAGAGGTGCAACCGTGGACCAGCTCCAGACGCAGCAGTCGTAGAGAAGAGGTCGTCCTCACGCGGCTGAGGATCGGACATACTAGACTGACTCACCTCCACCTCATAACAAAAGATTCTATCCCCCGATGTCAAAAGTGTAACCAATCACTAACTATAAAACATATTTTGGAAGAATGCCCTTTTTACACCGCAAGATTAAAAGATTTTGGAATACCCCAGAATATATCAGCATCCCTGGGAAATCAAGAAGAAGTAGTTACCAAAGTCATCAAGTTTATGGATAGTGAAAGACTTAAAAAACACATTTGACAGGCTTTTTTTCATTTATTAATTTCCTTTTTATCTATTTATTTTTATTATATTTTCTCTCCTTTTTTTTTTTTTTTTTTATTTATTGATTCTACTGCTATTTTTTAAAGTTTATTTATTTATACATTTTTTATACATCTTATTACCTATAAATGTCTATTATTATCCTTATTTATTTTATTCTATCAATCCATTTCTTTATTTATTTTTTTTTTTTTTTGTACCAATCATCCAAACAGTATTAAGTGATGTTATTTAGTTGATCGGGCGCTTATGACCTGGATGTTTTGCGCCTAGACATCGAAACAAACAAACAAACATAGAGAGCAGTGTGAAGAAGATAATTAAAAAATGAAATACTTTTAAATAAAATTTCTATATGATATTTTGTAATAATTTACAGTCCCCCCTTTTTTTTGTTTACAGATATGAAAACAATAATGTCTAGAACTACCATCAACATTATAAATAATGTACTCGTATATATACAACTGTATTTATTGACTGAACTTCAAGATACTTAAAAAAATACATACATTAACAGTCGATAAAATATGAATAAATATATGCATATATTCCATTAGCGTAAGGATTAACTCTTAAAGGATCGGAATGCCTGATCTATTTAATCCCCCTGACACAGTGAGATTGAAGTACCATCTGCCCAGAGCCAGTTCCCACGACCGATTCCATCTGGTGGTATTGTTGTACTCCAGCGCTTATCCTCCACACATGTTTAGTCAGCTGAGGTTTGGGATTCATCTGTACAGAGCTTAGCACATATGTTCCATCATATACCTGCTCAATGTACCATCCATTGTTATCAATGGCATCTGGATGTTGCCTTTGAGTTTATCTCTCGGAGGCTGTCATTAAATCGGCTTTAACTCTTATATCATTATACGTAATTAGCTATTATTAAGTAACAGTATTCTCATTTATAATTATACGTATGCTTAGTAATTTATCGTTGTAATTATTTATTTATTTATGGAAGCATGGAATAGATGCCAGTAAAATTAGAATAATATTCCACTAGTTGGCCCGCGCGAAAAATTCGCAGAAAATTTTTAGTAAAGAAATAACAAAACAATATAGAAATAAGTCGTTCCTGTGTATTATGTAAGGAAGGAATTAATATTTTTTTCTTAGCCGATTAAAATATTTTATTACACATAATAGACCAAATTTGTGTACAAATTGCTTTGCAAGGACCTATTTTTAAACGCTGACTGGAAAGATAATAAAAGTAATAAAGACAAAATAATGCCCCGATCATAGGATATTCTAAATTATTAAAAAAAATAAAATGTAAGAACAATCATAGGTCTTTAAGAAATAATAAAGTTAATATTAAAGTCAGAAAAAAAATGTATTCGAATATTCTACTCCTAAATGCAATATCTTTATTAAAGACATTATTAAGTATACCAAAACAAAGGGACTGTATCTTTGTTAATAATTGTCCAATTTTTGTTTTGTTTTGATAGGTAATTTAGTAATCTTTATAATTATCATGGATACAAGAAAAAATGCATAGTTTTTGAGTTATTCGCGAATAAAGCTTCTTTTCTTCCATAACTTTTTTTTTTCAGAAGTTTCGTGGGTATGGGACTATTTTTCGCATGTGAACGAGAAGAATACCTTCAAAATGAGTGGTCAATCATTGGATTTGATGAAGAATTGACAAAGTTATGGCGTACCGACAAAAAAACACCTTTTAGAAATAATATATAGGATGGTTGGTAGAGACCCCTTTTTATCGAATTATTAACATCCCCTTGAAACTTCGTAAATAGTTTCATCTCATCGTAATCCACAACTATTTTCTTTACGTTAACTCTTGTAATTGGGGCGTTTTCAATATGGAGGGGGGCAAACTTTGTCTATTTAATTAGGTACTAAAACTCGTAAATACCCATATGCTTTCTACTTAGATCGTAAGATAATGTGAACACAAAATCGGGAAAAAAGTGATATTAAAAAATATCGAGCCGTTTGGCGTGACCAACACCCCCATAATTTCATAATAACGAGTACATATTGGACTAACTGCCAAATATTTTTGTAGGGCATATTTTTTATCGATTTTGTGAACAAATTATCTAACGATACAAGTAGAAAGCAAATGGATTTTAGCCTGTATCCCTCTTGCGTTACCTTGGGTCCGTGAATCCTCCTCAGAATCTTCCTCTCAATCTTCAGGATTATTATTATTAAAAAATTAATTTATTTTGGCTTGGTATTTTAAAAATTTTATATAAGCAAAAATGTTGCATTATATTTCCAATATTTTTTTATTCTATTGAAAATATAAATCCTTTCTGCATATTTTTTAAATTGTTTCTTAGATGCTAAATTACTCAATTTAATTAAATAACGTCCTATAAAAGCTATTCCAGACATTGTCAAGAATGAATTATTGAGAGAAAAAAATATACTAATCTGTCAATTTGTAATTTTGAAATATCCTAAAAATTTAAATAGCAATAAATAAAACTAGAAGGTTAATAATTAAGATACATGAAAACAATAATAATAAAATACAATATGAAGAAATCTATGGGAATAAGAAAAATAAAACGAATCATAAATGTTAATACCTAAATCTTTTAAGCAGTCTAAAAACTGCCTCCTGCAATACCTGATGCCACGCCCTGATGAAGACCTGCAAGGTGGGTCGAAACCTAGGCGTAATAAATTAACAATACTATTTTAATAATGTAATATTTATTTGACCGAACCCCCCGATCCACTCCTTCTCAGTAAATCTTTTAAGTTATAGAATGAAAAAATATATTAAAAGGTAAATGATAAGATCTCCAACTGAATATTCAAACTCCGATATTTAGACGAGTTAAATAATTAATTGTTTTATAAATTTAACATTCAAGTATATATATATACATATTTTAATAATGGCAAAAGAAAAAAATGTGCTCTAGTTAAATTATGAGTTACAATTCCGAAGGCAGTGGGATATTCTCGCCTACAATTGTCTGCCAGGAATTTTAATAATCGTTTGAAGATCCCACCAGTTGTTAGGAATTTTTTTAATAACTCTTGAGTCGGAGCACAGACCCTTTTCTATGAAGATCATGTTCAAAATGTCTAATTTATAAAACTACAGAGGTTTTTTTGTTAAAATAATTGAATAAGCAAAAGGTATAATAAATATAGAGGTGGGTATATTAAAA